TTTTTGTCCAACTTGTCCTAAACAGAGCATATAATGTTGTGTGATTCTGTCCTAATTATTAACAGCATATGTAATTTTGTGGGAGTCTGTCCTAAACTGAGTATATAATTTTGTGTGAGTCTGTTAACAGGGTATTGCCTGCACGATTGATCTGATTTGCTAGATGAAATTTGTTTGTACTCCAAGTATACAAAAGCAATGACTAAGAACATGAATTTGCTCTATTGAAATTGCCAATAAATTTCTTTAAAAGAAGATGGTGTGCTTTTTGTCCCTTGTCCTAAACAGGGTTATAAAATTAAGGGTATTGTCCTAAACAGGGTATGTATTTTAGGACTTTTGTGTGCTAAACAAGGTCAGGGTTTCAAACCCTCAGTGGCTCACCTATATGCAAACATTGGACGAGTGCCCCCCCTACTCCCCCCAGGGACTCCGGCCTGCTCACGCTGTGCTTGCTCAGTGTCAATAAGGCCATTTATACGAGGAAAAATAACACTGGTCTTGACAGCCCCTAACACCTGTTCTTCAATGAGAGGCGTCTTGGCTAAGTCGCGTCTTAATGTGCCATTTATACGAAATCAGGGCTTAAAATTAAAAAAATCTTCAGGTTGCCTTTAGGCTACAAACTGGAGAAATATAGTTGCCAAATGCAAATTTTTAGTTGCCAGTTTGCATAATGTAAATGACACACCTCATAGTGCTATAGTAAAGAATGGTGCAATCCATCGTTTTGATTGTTTGAAAAAATTGCGGACAGAAGTCGGTATAAATTTTGGGGTTGACCTTGCTTTTGTTTATGCGATTTGGCACATTTTTTATGATGAAAGCAAAGCAAGATAAGATGAATTTATGTTTGTTTTAACTTTACTCTTTTAATTTAGATCTAAGTCGTAGAGAAATCTGGTCGCCAAAGTGGTGACTAAACCAGAATTTTTAGTCGCCAAGGAGAAAATGTTAGTCGCATTGGCGACTGTATCAGTCTCAAATTCGAGCCCAGGAGATAGTTTGCGTCTTATTTAGGACGCATCTAATGAAAGATGCGTCTTATTTTTCCTTGCATAAATAACCCTATTGTTCACAATCAAGTTACAAGTTGACTTGCCTGAATGCTTGTTTATTGGCAAGTGACCTGCACAGCCTAAAAAGTTACTTGCCCAGCAAGAAAATTTTCAGTTCTGTACTGTACTAACTTGTCCTGGACAACGCGACAGGTCTATTTTTGAGCCCTTTTTTATTAAATGTACTTATTCACCTCCTTAAAAAGATGTTTCTAAGATGGATACTTAGTGCCACTCCAAAAAGAGCCTGTCTTAGAGACAGAGAGACTAATGCGATTTTACTACTTTGGTCCATTTTTACACAGTTTATTCTCATTTTGCAAGAGGCATTTGTGCGGCTGGAGAGAAGTACATTTGTGTTGGTAAGCTATGCTGTAATCTGTTCAGTTTTAAGGTAAATGGTTTTAATTTTGATTTTGATAGAAGGTGACTATATTTTGTTCATTATTGGTGGTGTTGTCTTGCTATGCTTCAAGCACTTTGGACCAATACAAAACTAAAATCCTTGTGCCACTTGTAAGATACTCAGTTTTTATGCCCAAAGATTCCACTAGTGCACAACCTGTGCAGTACAAAGAATCTTTCCAAGCATTTCTAATAAAAGCAATAATATTTGGTTCTGGACCTAGAGCAGTTAGGTATACTTAAGCTTTGTAAGATTGCATATAAACACGGGTCATTTTTTACCCCACCTAAGTAGGTTACCTCGCCTACCTGATGCCTCCCACCTCCATGTAAACAGGCCCTCGTCAGAAACAATTGCATGGCAGGCTATCAACTACAGCAAATTTTCAAATGCTTTTCAGGCACATCAGAGGGTGCAATTATGGTGTTTGATATCCCTCCTCGTGGAACAGCTGTTAAACTTCAAGAGACTCTTACTGCGCACAAGGTAGCGATATGTGAGCTGGAATCACAAGGCAGTCGTATGGCATCTACAGATGAAGAAGGAAATATTATACTTTGGCAATCAGGGGGCCATTTTACTGAGATTATTAAAATTGAAGGAAAAGGGTTAGTAGTGTTTTGTGGCAAAGTTTAAACAGTTTAGAGGATGCTTAAAGGCAGTGTGTGAGGATGATGACTTCAAAGTGGCATCACACACACTAAAGGGTCCAATGGGGTTGCAACTTTGACGGTTGACAGTTATTATTTATGGAAATTTAGCCCAAGAGTTCAATTAAATATTAACTTTGATGTTAATTAATATTGACTGTTGTGTTTTGGAGGTTTTCTTGGCCTTTAATTCACTTAATATCAAAATCTTTTCACATATAAGCAAGTTGTATTGTCATGTCTAGGGATAGTGTTTTTAAGAACATGGGAACTGATTTTTCCAGTTTAGAGTTTCTTCAGGAGCCAGACAGCCTTGAAGATCAGCTGAATAGTGAGATTTGAAAAACCTTTGAAACTTATTGGTGGTTAATATTAATCTGCATAATGGGAGACGGTAAAAAAATACCTGTTTCTATGGCTGACAGTTAACCCCATTGAGACCCTCATATTAGCCTGTAGCATAAAAGCAAGCTCTCTATTTGGAAATAACAAGAGTTGAAAGTCACACGAGTGTGAGTTGCACCTTTCTTTGCACACCTCTCTACATTGTAGGCTTACTTCTTAAGTCTTTGTCAGTTGTCACTGCTCTTTTTGTAGCTTGAAGCAACTCAGAATGTCCCAATTCCCAGTTGCTGGTATACGAGTATACTGTTTAACTTATGCACCTTCAGCAATGTGTTGTTGTTGGTACTTTTACACTAGTGGACAAAAAGAGGCATAGCCTGCGAAAACAAATGGGGGACATTGTGCCATGAGGGATGTCTGCATCTCAGCAACAGAATTTCCATACTGATGACAAAAATTCTGTACAGAATCTGTTTAGGAACTCTCATTGGTTGAAGTCGTAGGCATATTGTTTTAGCTATTGTTTACAAACGACAGCCAAAAGACAATTGGTCACAAGTCAAGTCAAGCACACAAAAACACAATAAATCTACTACAAAACATTCAATATTCATGGCATATATTCTTCTTTAGAAAAAGCATTTGACTTTTGCCGAAGCTTGTTTGGAGAATAACACAAAACTTTACTATAATCGACTAGGAGAAACATAAAATCGAACAAATTTACATTTGGAACCCCATGACTACTAGATATATTATGTAAACATTGAGTTACGTCATCAGTGTGGAATTCCTGTTGCTGAAGCACAGATGTCACTCCTGGCAAAACGTCCTCAGTGGTGAGTAGCGAGGAGAAACAGCTGTTTCTTACAGGTTAAGAGAGACAATTTGAGATAAATTATCAAAGACACACATAACTTAAACATTAACAGAGACAAATGGAGCTCCTCAGGTTATAAAAGGATAAGCATTTTCATTAGCCTGTGATTAGGGAGAGTTGCGAGAAGTTGTGCGAGAGCTGCACCTGAAAGGTGACACGAGTATTTTCCTCCTTCCCTCGCTCACTGGCCCGTTCTCTCACGACTCACTTCACTTGACATAATTGGAGAGCTTGCTCGCATGCGACATTGTCATTTTAAACAAATACTAATTTGCAAGCAGGTTATTATTACAAGAGATAATCTGCACTTCGCCAAGTTATTTTGAGTTCCCCGTCTGTATGATCATTTCGTGTTCTGATGAGATTGTGTGCACAATGGGCTATGCTTGAAAGTGTTACTGTAAACACAAATGATCTCCGATGAAATATGTCCTTTAAAATTTTTATTTTGGTTAGATTTCCTTGTTCGTCTGTTTGCTTGCTAAAGGACTTTATCATTGGAGGTTTTGGAACAGGTCACATAAGAGTGTTTAGTGCTTCAACTGGTTCACTGCTTATCGAGGCATGTGCTCATGCACGCTGGATCAATGCAATGGATATATGCACAGAAGCCAGGCTGGTAAGACTTTGATCTCAGGGCTTCAAATAACCATTAGTAAAAAGACAGAAATTTCTGACTAAAACTTCTCTATATCTACCAAAATCCTAAATGGGCATGATGACTGGACAGACCAAATACTGAGGACTGTCATTTTGTAGATTTGCATAGTAGTTTGGAGTTAACATAATATAGGACCCACTACTTTTTTGGTTTGCCCTGCCCCCGAGAAGGGGGTCTGGGGTACTCCCTATAATGGCCTATACAGGGAGGCTCCGCCCGAAAGGGGTATCTGTTTCAGATGTATGAAAGGGTAGGGATTTTATTAATTAAAGTATATGAAAGGGTAGGAAAATGTGTCATTTTAGTCTGTAAAAGGACCAAAAAGTGCTAACAGATGCATTTCATGTATGTGAAAGACGCAAGAAAACTTTCTGGTTTAGTGATTTATTGGTATTTAAAAGACGGAACACTTAACGCAGTTAAAAGGGATGCAGTGTTCTAAACTAGGTATTTCAAAGGGCACCATTTGTCAGTAGAAGATTTACGAAAATAGGTAAGGGGTTGGACTTAAGCCAGCGTCTCCCAGTATAAAACTTCGATGTGGGTTTACCCGACTTCCGTCCCTTTTAAAAAGAAAACTGATTTGCAGGCCTGCAATCCTCAATCACTATTTGTATAATACACTGTAAGATTTATGGAATAGCAAATCTAACACATTGAGACCACTGTTAAACCATTTCACTGCAAGGCCAGCGTATTGTGAGGTTATTTGTTACTTTTTACTTAGCCTGCAGAAAAAGTGCTATTTTTTCACGTTTTTTAGGCGAGCGAAGGTATGCGCGAAGCGGGCGTAGAGAGCGAGACACATGCGATGGGAGGGAGGCACCAAAAAAGGCGCAATTTTTCCGCGCCTATTTTATCGCGCATGTCTCGCGCTCCACGCCCGTTCGTGCTCAACAGCGGTGAAAAAAGCGTCTCTTTTGCAGGCTACTTTATTTTCAAAATCCGTGGACAAAATCCTATGATGTCTCCACTTCCAGTGAATCCTCTTTGGTAGAACTTTTGCATATTACTATCTATTTATGTTTTAGGATTTCAGAACAGACATGAATTTGATTCTTTTGTGAATTTTTTCTTTGGTCGCTTTTATTAAGTAGTGACAGGGTTACAAGATTTAAGAGACTTGGGTATTTCTTTGCTTTGAATAAATATAAACCCGCTAACTATATTAAGCACAAAATACTAGTTCGGGTTAGATAAGTTGTAGTTATGTCCATGAAATAGCCTAAAAATAGCAGCAAACCTTTCGCGACGCCAGCACTTGTTTCATTTCGCGGGGAAACCAGTGGTTCGAAGTGGTAACGTCGCAAAATGTCGACTTTTTTCTCAGGTTACCACCGAGACTATCCATGAAACGGTTGATTAGTAGTCATGTGGAGGATCCCAGGCTTACACAGCCATCCTTACTAAGAAAGGTTGCCCTACCTTAGACACTTGTTAAAGGCTTTTGTTTTTGCAGCTTGTCTCTGCATCTGAAGACAGTTTTGTAAGAGTGTGGAAGCTTTCTGCAGACGACAAACCAACAGTAAGTTTCTTAAAGACATTTATCCAGATAGTCTCTGTTGAACCCCTATGAACTTTCTTTCTTTGCTGTTTTTCCAAGCTTTTTTACCTTTATATATCTTCCTTTGCAGATGGAAATGGTATTTCAGCAGTCTATCTCAGATGTCCAATTGTGTGGAGCAAAATTTGTGGACCTTTCTGGCGACACGTTCGGAGTAACCGGCTATGATTTATCAGAGATAGTAATGTTCACCAAACAGTAATACATTCGCCAATAATCTTACTCGAACATCACAAAATTAGGAAATATGTTCTCTGTGTCAATCTGTGAATCATTAAGTTATATTTTATTCATAAAAGCATTCATTTTACTTGAATGGAAATTAGTGTCATTTCTACGCAAATGTAGGATGTTTTGAACTGTCGAGTAGGAAAGTTCGGAGAACGGCCAGTTACTAAACACGTAGTCATCTTTTTATTTTTTGATTAGAAAAACAGAGTAGTTTTCGGGCTGAGCTAGTCCTTATGCACGTAGGGAACTGACGTAGCGGCGACGGCAACGAGAATGAAAAAAAGTAGATTTTAATAAGCAAAACAGCAACTTTGGCGTCATCACATGACTACGAAGTAAAACTTCTTCATGTTAAATGGAGGAAGTAAACCAAGACAAATAGTTTCTTTTTCTTTTTCTTAAATTAGATACAGTACTTTAGAATTCACCCGGCACTAACGTGAAAAAATGTGCCTTTCAGCTGAATTACAAGGCATTAATGCATTCTAAATTTAGACGATTATGGTGTTCACACCGAGCCAGTCAAATTTTTGACCGTACTGGCTACGAATTTGACCTCGATTTTGGCATTCAAATTTTTGAACGGCTGGCAGGTGGCTAGACTTCTAAACTCCCGTGTGAGCGGAACACCTAAAGGCACAAATTTTTAACCGGTCAAAAATTCGTCCGGTTCCGTGCGAACGCAGTCTAAAACTGGTTAGATATTTTATTGTGGTGTGGAAGTTCTTCATTATTTTTTTATTCTTTAATTTGTATTTGGTTATCACACCTTCTTCAACACAACGAAACTGTTCATTTATTTATTATAACGTGCGTGGAAAGACATTAATAAACTGTTAACGAAACTGTTTGTGTGTTCCTATCTCTTATTGTATCGAGAAATTAAGAGTCACGTTTACGACAAACGGCAAACGTCAATTTCAAGTCGAGAATTTCTCAAAATAGAAGAAAACAGCTCAAAACAATTCTCATAGATAAAAATGACGTAAAAATACTTATTTCATTGTAGAAGTAATGAAAGTAAACGACAGGTAATGAGAAAACTTGGACACATGGTACAAACTTACGCTTGCTGTTGCGGTAAACGTCACTCTTAATCTCTTTATGATGCAAGAAAGAACGGGTGGGCATGTCTCCCTGGGGTGCCGCGTTCTTTCTTGTGCCCATTACCTCGAAGCGCTGGCCTGCGAAGCTTGCGGTTTGTTTGGTTCGATTTTTCTTTTCTGGTTCAGAAAGTAAGAGTTACAGCGACGCGAAAGCTGAACCGAGGGGAAACAGAAAACGATGGAGAGTGGTCGAGGGGACGTAATGAAGCACAAAAGAAAAAACACACCAAAACAACCGAGTGGCGGTGTTACTAGGTCAATTTTCGCTGGCTGATATTCCACCATTACGGCTCGTGCCGAACAACAGAAATTAGCGAAGGCAACCCAAACAGATATTAGCTAAAAATCCCAGAGAGTTCTGATCAACCAGAAAGTTATAACTGTATTAATTCAAAAAGCACTACAAGAACACTACATGTAAGAAGTAACTGAGTATGTTTGGTATTAAAAAAACAACTGATTCGTGAAAATCAAGGGGCTTTAATTACTGCATCATGGAAGCAGTGAGAGTGAATACTTTCGCTTAAAAAGGCTGTTTACGGTGTACAAAGTTCTTCCGTTACGACATTGTGTTATGTATCTACACTTTAAGGATCTTTAAGACACACGACACAACTTAGGTACTTAGGTACAGTTATTAAACGCTCTTGACTAAGTTCGGATTTGTAAGATTTTAATAAAATAAAACATTAAATCTTTGTATCGTAGATCGTGGCCTGGTCTTGCTTTGTAAAAACCGGATGTTTCAAAAAACCTGCTGCTTGCTCTTAGTTTCTCGTGTTTTTTTTTATATTTCAACAAAGCCCGAGGCAATGGAAACTGTTCTCGGACCAGCCAGCCTGCAGATGTACAAGAGACCCACGGCTTTACAGGTCGAGGGGAACTTCAGAAAGACCAAAAAGTAAGCCGCAAACAAGTGTGAACTATCGAGTTCAAAATAGTTTCTTCATTCTATAAAAGAGTATTTGAAATGGAGTTCGCTTGTTCTTCCCACCACACCTGTTTATCTTGCTTTGTTTCGCGGCAAATATCCTAACTCGTTTACCATTGGTAGGGACGATGACCAATCACAGATCAGCAAACATTGCTGCTGTTTCAACGCCGCACAGCGAGCCTTGCAACAGAGTAGACATTTTGTTTTGTCCTGCCAGAATGAGGGCAGTGAAATTATATCATAAACAAATGGATGTGCCTTGGAAGTTATAAGTCATGATATTTCACGATTAAGGCCTCGGAAAGCTTCACGTTTGACCAAAAGAGGGTAAGTTAACGGTGACTTCTAGAGCTCCAAATTTATATACCAACTTGTTGATAGTGCGCGCAACCGCTCTTAAGTTATACATTTGTCAACTAGCAATTCTCATTCACGAAAACAGCTACTGTAGGATCGAGTGGCTGCACGAAGGTACGACGTATTTCACGTGTTACGTGATATATATCCTGTTAAATTATCTGCGGTATATATCCGGAAATTAGGAGAGCAAGATCGAACTGCCTGTTTGTTGCGTTACGGTTGTATTCAAGCTAAACCTAACTAAATTTAGCCACGAGAATATCCTTAGGTTAGATGAAAGTTAGGTCAAAGGAGTGCTTAGATGACTGGCGTGTGTTTATCCTGGTTGATAATTCTTGTATTTTTTAGAAGATAACGTCATCATTGTTTGAAAACCAAGTGAAGCAATAAAAAGTTGATGCAGAAGTAGAGCGATAAACGATCAAGCGAAGTAAAGCGTACATTTGTGCAATTCGATCAGGCTCAGTAACCCTTTGTTATTGTAATGACTCTCGCCTCTTTGTTCGAATCTTATTCAGCTTTTGCCAAGTCCTATCCAACCGGCTGGACTCCAGAAAACTCAAGACAACGCGTTCGAGACTGTGATCGAAGCTTCGTTGAGGCTTCGAACGCTTCGAAAACGGCCGATTCTTGGAATTGGAGGATGCCAAGCGTTCCGCTTCCAAGCCCAAGCTATAATTCAACGGGGTAATACTGTCTAATGAACGCTTTGTAAATTTTGTATATTCTGTTATGCTAGGGTAAACCCATTTATAAAAATCCACTCTTTTTATATGCTTCCGTTATGTTCAACGATGCATGTAGGTTTCAACCATGCAGATTTCAGACAGATCTCTTAAAAGGCACTCCTCGCGTGCTCAGCGCATTTTTGTAATAGAGTGAAACGCTCTTGCTGAAAAGTTAATCGATCATTTCACGATATTTTCTTTTCGTTTTAGGCGTCGCACTCCGTATTATACACATCCTGATATAAGAATTTATGAGTTGAACCGGCGTTTACAACATCGCCTCGAGGTTTGTGCGGGTTTACTTTTAATTCTTACTGTAAAAAAAAGCTAGTAAACAAAGGCAGTAACTTTGACCATTGCGAAGCTTATGTTAGAGTTTATGTTATATTTTATCGAACCTTGGGGTTATGTGGAAAGAAAAGCATCCGTCAAGTTATGTTTTTCTTGGCATTTATCCCTTACGTTTAATCTTGACATACAATGGAAGGGACGGAGAATTTTTCATTATACTCCTTAAGATGATGTGTTTATATTTATCGTGAATTACTGAAAGAAAAAGTATAAAAGAGTGTTAAGAAATTTTAAGCTTCTGTAATCTACCCTTCAGCTGAAGTATTGGCTTAGTGACCTGTTCTTTTTGTTTCTGTGAAGTGCGATTTTGTCTCAGATTTCACACATATTTGCATTTTCAAAATAACCTCACCTGAAGTCAAGTTACAGTTATTGATGAACTCCTTTAACATAAATCTTGCCCCAGAACATTGTCGGATCGGTCCATCACATGTCAAAATACTTGAAGTGATATCTGAAAATATAAAGAAGTTTTTCTGCTTTCATTCTTTTCATATTGCCCTTTAAACTGTGTGACTTTAGTCAGTAGTGGCTGGTTCTGTTTCTCGCAAATTTGTTGTCGTTTTATTCTTTTATTTGAAGCTCTAGGTATAAAATTATTGGGAAAGGCTAATATTTTTTTATAACAGGCACTTATTAAGTTTGTTTTATGCATGCTACATTTTCCCTTCTTGTTTATCACCTTCCTGGAATATTTGAGATGATTATCCGCCTTGTATTTTATTTACACATAATTCTCTGCTCTGCACAGTCATTTGACAAATTGAAAAGAATAAATCTGAATTAATTATAATTTCTTCCCTGTTATCTGTATTTTTGTTGTTATTGACTTGATTCCTTTTCACATGAAAATAGAATAATTAAGACAAGAAATGAGTTCTTAGAGCTGAGGTACTCCATAACACTTCTGGAATTAGTTTACTTCTCTAGTCCCAAGAACGATCAACATCAGTCTTCTCCCAACAATATGAATACACAATCAAGGGAAAAAGTTATGAGAAATGATATAATGATCACAGAGGGGAAATGCTTTTATGTTTAATCAAATTCTCTCAACTTATTCTTTAAGGAATTGTATGGAGATCAGTCTGAAGAAATTGCATGTGAATATTGGGTCGTAAAGCGTTAAAAGTGTTTTCCGAAGTGCATTAATATCCTCTACAATGACTGTCTGCCTGCAACTGCAACAGTCACTAAAGATCATTCCACATCCCATGTGCCAATAATACCCACTCAGCAACAGACTTTTAAGAGAGAATATTGTTCATGCTAATGCTCTCAATGCACCCTTTTCACTTCATTTTGTTAACACTTTTTTGTTGTGAACATTAACTGTTTTATTGATGTGGTTGATTGTTTTACATTTTATGATGCAGGAATTAGCATTTCTAAATATAAAAAATATTATAGTTTTCCCCAAGCCATTAGCATCATGCTATCCCTCACCCTACCTCTGTAATCTATAGCTGTCATTGAGAGGGTCAACTGTATACTCTAGGCATAATTTTCCTTTATGTCAAATTCTATTATTTTGTTTTTTTAACTCATTACAGATGCAATGTTTAGACTAAATATAGCTTGCATTAAATCCTGCTGCACTAAGCACTGTTTTGCGTCGGAAAAGGGTATGAAAGAATTAGTAGACCTGATCCTTGGAAAATGATTTAGAGTTGTCAGAAAGTTTTGAATAACACAGCTTAATTTTGCCATATTTTATTAAAGAATCAGATGAATAACAAAGCAGAATAGCCGGCCAAAAACATAGCGTAGGAGGAGTTTTTGCCATCTGCCTGCTATTTTTGGCAACTGTGACAAATGTCTCAGATTTAATAACAGCAATGTTTAAGTTGTGTCTGATTACCCGAGGTTTGTGGATTTTACTATCGGGCTAGTGAATTCTGTTCTTAACTTGCCCCATGGGCAAGTGAAGTGTTTTGGAGAATTCATATTACAGAAGAATCAATCCTGGCTATTAAAAATTTATTGGGGAGGCACCCAAAAGTACCCTCAGGATAGTACATGCTAGCTACAGCTATACACCCTGGTTTTGGTACAAACCCCTTTTCTTTTCTTGTGGAAATTTTGCTTAAAAATACTATTTAGCCTTAGAACAACATGATTTCCATGATAAAGCAGGAAGGGTTGTATCAAAACAAGGTCAACTCCAGCCTTGTTTTCACCTGTAACTGTAAAATGGGCTATTTGTAGTAAGATGCACTCAAATTCTTGATTTTTGTCTCTGACAGGATGCAGACAATGTATGGTGGGATGCATTTGCAACAGAGTTTTTTGATGATGACGCTACCCTGACATTGAGCTTTTGCTTGGAAGATGGGCCAAAAAGATATTGTATGTCTTTAAAATCTTGTTGAAAGTGCTCTCTGCATTATACACAAAATGAGCTGGGGTTTCAATAAACACCGATGGCTGACAAAACGTGTTGGCTACTTTGCTCATAGAAGTTGGTTACTTTTTTTCTACAAGGAAGAAGGAACTAGTTTGAACAATTTTGTAAACAAAAAATATTTCATAAAATCTGAATGAAAACGTAATTATGATGTGTTTTCATAAAAGCGCCCTGGTTTTACGTTATGCCTTAGTCATGTAAATGTTATATTTCAGTCAATCTCACAAGTTTCTTTATACATGTAAGTTTACGCAGAATTTGTTAATGTGCAAACGTACGTAATTTAGTTTTCATCATTATTTTTTTGTTCATTGCTTGTAGGAATTGATTGTGACTGATAAATCAAACGTTGAATGAAAGCTACAGTTTCTTGAATGAAAAACATGCTCTTTTGTCCTCAGCTTAGTCCCCAGAACACTGAAAATCACATTATAGGGCTATGAAATTTCAAAATTTTTGTGGGGAAGCAAGTCCCCAAACACCTCCCCCCTGCAAAAGGGAAATAACAGCCCCCTTTGATACAGTCGGTTACTCTATTTAAACCTGCTGGATACTTCAATGTTTATTGAAACCCGTGAGTAAGTGTAAAATATTATTAGGTGTATTATAGTTTAGTGCTTCAAAGGGTGTGGGGCGGGACTGAATTTTTAAGGTAGTCTTTTTATGCCAGCTGTGGGAATGTAATCAGCAACAAGATTCTTGTATCAGGTTTACTCCTCCTACTTACTACTCCTCCTAGTCTGCTACATAGCTGTTTTTAGAGTCATCACGCAATGCTCTTCCCTACAAACTGCTGCTGTGAACTGAATCACACTCTTTTCCATTTGTGTTTGTATTCTAACAAACTAACCAGTCATGTATTAGAAACATGACAAGATGTAAACTGCAGGGTGCTAGGAAACAAACACAGTTCTCAATTTTCAACAAATTAAACCATCGTTGCTGAATTTCGATGGGCTTTGTCTAACAGCAGCGAAAAGGTTAATTTCCCGAAGTGTTTGTTTTAAGCAGTTAATAAAGTTCCTTGCAAAAAAGGTTTTATAACCCTTCATGACCTTTGCCATGATTGGTTGTTTCTTTTTATCGGCATATGTGTTACGACTTTCCTGTGCCAGATGTGCTTATTGTGTTGCTTTACAAGTGAATGTTAAACTCACAAGGGCATTGATTCAAACAATAGCAAGAATATAAATTATAGATGAGCGATTTCCCGCAACTTCCCGGCAACTTTATAGGTACATCCTTGTTGTGCATCACATTTGCTTGGCTTGCTTGCCGCTGCTGTGCACTGCTTATACTGTGACAAAACTACCTTACTCTTAGTTGTATGATACAGTTTTAATAGTTTTGTCATTCACATGTGGGGCACCGTTGAAAGCAAAGCTGTGATTGGAGGAGTCCCTATACCATAAACTTGGTGCAAATACCTTCCAGATGGAAGGTGAAATCTGATGGCTAAAAATGGGGAAAGGAATGTGGTTTGATTATCAGCAGCCGTTTACGGGGAAGGAGCATTGCATGACGATGCGAAGATTGGCTGTGTAGCAGACTAACTTCCGAAAGGATTGAGTTTGTTTTTTTAAGATGACATTTGTTACCCTTGGATTACACTTTACTGTCTGGAAATGCCAGCAAGATGATAACTGTTTTGGGAACTCTGTGGTCACTGTTTTCTTTTTCTTTTAGCAATAGGACGGAATCTAATTCCCAGGTACTTTCGAAGTATATTTGAGGGTGGAGTAAAAGAACTGTATTACCACATTGTGCAACCGAAGGAGTCATACCACAACAACACAAGTACAATAACTCTTGATTGTGAAAATACAACCATGATTACACATCATAAAACACCAGTCTTTACAAAGGTTTGTATAGCTGTTTTTTTTAAGGCTAATTATCTATAAGTGGCTAATTTAACTTTGAAATGCTTATACTGTATTGTAAATCAACAAACCTGTACTAGCACTTCCAAGCCATTCTTCTATCACTTGTACAGAGTATAATAAATAATCAATAATGCAGGACAGAACAGCTCAGTAACTGTCATGAATGGTTAACTTAGTCATCCACAGACTTAAGCATTAGAGCCTCCTTGTACAGATAAGTAAACAGCATCATTCAAGAACAGTTCACTATCTTTGTTTCAATATTTTTATCACAGGATTGTCAAAAACAAGATTTTCACATTGTCTTGTATTAATGAAAATGTCCACAGGTATGCACAGAGGGCCGCCTTTTACTGGAATTCACCCTGGATGATCTCATGAGAATACGAAACTGGCACTTTGCTATTAGACATTACACAGAGATGATTCCTCGCAATGTTATTGTTGGTGCCCAGGACCCAAACTTTCTGGAACAGTTATCAAAAAATATCACCAGACAAGGAATGACCAATGTTACTCTTAATTATCTCAGGGTAAGAAAAAGAAGGAGAAAAACAGAGGCAGGTGTTGGACATGTCACATTTAAAGTGCTCTCCAGAGCTTCCATTAAATTTTGGCTTTTTTTTACTGTTCTAGAATATGGCATTTAATTTTCTTTTATGTTCTAACCTGTAATAATATGAAAAATAAATATTTCAAAGCTATACTATGGATCAATCAGATTCCCTGGTGTAAATTACACATCTGCCTTATCGCCAATCTATATGTGACTCTTTTGTCAGTAACTAATACTAAAATTATTGAAACAAACTAGAGTGTGTGTAAATTTGTACTGTTTTATTATATATATTTTTTCTGTAATAGTATTTTTCTCTTCTCTTGTACCCGTCTTGATTATCTTAGCAAAGTTATGGGCAGCAAGCATTGTCATATTTAATTGAAGGCTAAATAAAGCTGTTCTTGTTGGTGGTGGACAAAACACTGACCCCAGTCAAAGGGCTACCCTTATGGACTACCCTAAAATGGAATACACCACTGAAGTTTAGTGATTATGGTTATTAAACTGAGTGAATCAAGTTTCAGGTCAGTTTCCCAGTATAATGAGCCTATAAATGGAACCTGATTCACTCAGTTCCCTAACCCTAATCACTACACTTCAGTGGTGTCGCCCATTTTAGGGTGGTCCATGGCAGTTGTCCATGGGCTGGCAGTCCACCACCATTCTTGTCGTTGTTGTTAATCAGTTTGTCTATCTTTTAGCTCTGTGTTATTCTGGAGCCCATGCAGGAACTCATGTCACGACACAAGACTTACAATATGAACCCCAGAGGTAAGTTGTCCTGGTCATTGTTGAGTGTTTCTAACTGAAATATTTTTCAGTAGATGTGCCTTTCCTGAGCTTAATTTTCTTGACTTCGTAGTAACAAATGTCTTTTATCTTCTACATTTTTCTAAAACAGACTGTTTAAAATCCACACTTTTCCAGAGATGGCAGCCAATGTGTCCCCCACCAGGTAAGAACTCAAGCCAGTTGTCCTTTCTTGCAAACTAAATTACCATATTTATTCAATTAAGCACCAAACCTCAAATAAGCACCCACCTTGAATAACCGGCTTCCCACCCAGCCTTAAATAAGTACCCACTCTATAGACAGGAAAAGTTAATAAGCACCCAGCCTCAAATATATATAAGTGCCCACCCCTACCACCTTCCAACAAATAAAATTGTCTTTCGGCTTTCTGACAATGAGATTGGAATGGACTAGTTTCTTCTGTCACAAAAAAATAGACCAAGTTTTCTTTAGTTAGAATTGTAATGAAATTTTCAAGGAGAATTTTAAATTCTGCCTTGGAACACCTCATTTTGTTGCAAAATATGATTACTATTGCTGTAAATTGTGAAAATTTAACAAGTGCCCACCTCAAATAAGTCCCCACTCTCAAGGTTCAAAAACTTATTAAGCACTCGGGATGTTGAATCGAATACAGTATCTCAATATTATTTTGGTGCTTTGTATCATTTACCTTTGAAGTCAATGGAGACCTTTATAATAATAAGTCATCACTTTACGCAGGCCCGTGGACCAAAATGTTTGCCATTTAAATGATTTAAATGTTCAGTCACCCAAAAAAGAACACTGCATAAAATTCCTGAACCAAAAAGGTTCTCATGTAGATTTCCTAAACAGTTGAGGTTACAGACTTGCTTCAGAGCATGTTTGTTATTTACCAGATTGTTGTCTATCTATCTGTTATTTACCATATCAGGGTGTTCATTAGGCATCGGAGATCAGAGAATTCTCTGGCTAATGGTCAATAGCCTATGACTATTTTTTACTCAGTTGTGGAGCAGCTTTAAAAATATACTCCCGTACAATACACCTTTCTACAACTACTAGAATTCTTAATGAAAACCCTGCTACGTTGTTGTCTATCCTTCTCCAGATTATCAGGGTGAGATGATGTGGCAACCAAATACTCCAACCACTCCAGGTAAACTGGGACTTTTTAACAACCCATTACTATCTTCACACTTGTCCGCAGTGCTAAGCAGATAGGAGATGGGCTATTGTAGAAACAAATATAGATAATTTACCAAAACCTCTTTGATTAAATTTGCAAATGCAAATTTGAAGGTGTTGATTTTCACAATTATTTTAAAATAAGATGGAAACTTTTGTCAAACCCAGAGCTTCTGTTTGTTAACGGAACTTTTATACTAACCATTTTTGTGTTAGTTAGTCAGTTTTCATTTTTATAATCCACAGTTTTGGGCATGTAAAAGTGTCATCATGGGATTGATGAGGAATTGTTGTGTAAGAAAGTGGAAATAGCATGTCTCCAAATGATATTGTTATGTTGCTGTCAGTAACTTTAAAAAAATTTTTGATTTCCTGTACTTCAAATGTTTTCCCCAGATGCACAAACTGTCACCACCCTTTGCCAAATAGGTCAAGCTATCAATGCCAAAATAAAGTCAGTTATTGTAAGGAGCTGCAAATAATTATCCAGCTTGCTTTCTCAGTATGAATATGAGTGGCCCTTGCTTAAAAAGTTACCTCTGATCAGAAAACAACACAAGAAAAAAAAGTTATAATACAACATTTTTTGCTGGTAAAACTGACAGCCCTGGCTGCCATGTTTACGTCACACATCCTCAGTCACTGACTTAGTGAGCCTCTGAAACTGCTCTCCGCTCCTTAAACATCTCATGTATACCTGTTTTCCCTAAAGGATCCCCCTTTCCTAAACTTCTTGAGAGAACATTGACTGGGCAGCCTGCTTCAAGGAAAGGTTAGCCTCAGTTCAGTCAGTGCGGCGGTGTTTGGACACAGGATATGGGCCTAATTATCCTGTTTTATTTGGGAAATATTTCATTGGCTTTTGCATGCAATTGATTGCATCCATGTCTCTCTTCAGTGACCATCTTTTTATTCTCATATGAAAAGCATCATGCATTAACCCTTTTACTTCAGGGCTGACACTAAAGACCAGGTGCTGGGACCTCCCCTGGCTACTGTGAGCTTGATCCCTGGCAACTTTCGTAGGACAGAAAAAGAAAATAGAACCAATAGAAACTCCTAGCTTTTCATTTCTCTATCTACTAAATGCATACACCCACAACTTAAAATCTTGGCAATAGCCCTGCATTGCAAAGTGAACAGTGAAGTCTCATAAGGTAGTTCTAACATTTATGTCTGGAGATAAATCCTGTGGTGTGACCTTTTCTTTTGATTTCATATTGATCTTGTATTAAGGAGAAAATTGATGTTGGTCACTCTGGGGTCTTGAAGAGTTAACCTAGTAGACCTGGTAGACTTGTGCAATAGGACTGAAAAATGCCCAGCATAGAAGAACCAACAAGGTCTTCCACATTTCCCCCCTCCCCTTGTGTAATACTCTTCAACAACACAGCCCCACCCCCCACCTCCCCTGATGACTTGATAAGCCAATATTTCCCAAACACCACCTTTTTATTCCCAGGGATGGTTACACAGAAGAGAGCCAGCTTTCATCAGCCATTGTTTTTTCTCAACTTTTTCAGTGAAAGGTCAAATCGTGTGGTCAAACACTGTCTATAGCTCACTTTAACCCTTTAACCCCTAAGATCAAAATGCAAATTCTCATTTGTTATCCCTATACATTTTCAATAGAAGTAGTGGGAAGAATTTTGAAGTATCAATAAGATTCATCTTGTGTGATCATGTCCATAATTCTCATGATCGCTCTGTTTAAAAAAGCATTGATATTACTAGGAGAAATTTCATGTTGATCTCTCCCAGGGCTTAAAGGGTTAAATATGGTTGTTACAGTGTTATTCTGAAGTGTGAACAAATTAGTGCCATACTGCTAACCCCCTAAGAGGACCTAAAATTGTATTGTGGGTGTTGTTTTGCTGTAAATCAAATCTCTTATAACGTTAAGTTTGAGGATAGGGAATAGGTTAAAAAACAGTTTTGGGTTTGGGTTTTTTTTTTTAATTTAAGGTGATTGGGAGGCCACAGGTTAGAATCTGACAAAAAATCCTTTGTAAAGAGTTGTGCCAATGACATCTTGGTGAATTACAGAAAATAATAGGTTTAGTAAGCCAAAACATTGCCTCTTTGAGTGCATTTAACATTTTGTTTGGTGCATTTATCTGCAAATTTTTTGCAAAACAACAATAGCAAATTTAATTTCTGTTGGGAATTACAATACCTCCAGCTTATTTTTCCTTTCTGTGTGTTTCTTTTATGTAAACTTAATAAACTTCTTCAGCAATCCACACAAACAAAATTTTCATTGTTCCTTATCTCTGTTTCAGCAGAAACTCCGCGTCAACCAAGAACGAGGCGGAAACGTAAGTCAACAAATGCAAATTCATCGGCACCCAGCAGTGGTATGAACAGTACGTCAGGTAAAAAGAAATCGCCCAGCACTTCGGGGTTCACACTAGCATCTCAGGATGTCATGGTTGTTGGCGAGCCTTCTCTGATGGGCGGAGAATTTGGTGATGAAGACGAACGGCTTATTACTAGGTGAGTGGTTCTAGCAACTATTTTGGTGGAGCACAAGTTAGTGTTACTTTCAACATAGTATACATCTCGCCCAAGGAATTGTGAAGTTGACAGTCAGTCCAGTGATATCTACCTTCTCTCCCTTTGTTATCTTGTTTGGTGATGTTGTTTACAGTCACTTCCCACTACCCATGTGAGTTAATTGCATTTCATACCTTGGCCTGTTCTAAGAACATGAGCTCTGCTGCATCCACATTCTTTCCATTCCTGCTAGCTTAAATGATGTTGACTTCATATTCTCCCTTTTTCCTTCTTTGCCATGTTGTAACGTAAATTGCCAAGACCTCTAACAGCATTTCAAGCTGTATCATGGTAGAATGGTATCTACCATCTTGTTTCAGTTATTCACCCTGTTTGTCGACTGTCTGTAACAGAAAGGTGTCCATATTATGGAGGTGCCCATATGGGAGGGTCAACACTGCAGTTAAAAATAAAGTTGAGGCACTGGTATAGGCTATTGATAAATGAATGCCTTAGTATAAAATTGCTGTAAAAGGTAAAGGAAAAATTAAAGTACATTAACATCAAATAAACACTTTTTATCCACTAATGTTGAAAACACAGATTGGGTTTTGAAGATGGTGAAAGCAGTTTTCCTGACTTTTCTTTGGTAAGTGGAATCCTCCCTCATACACTAATTAACCTCTGACAAAACAGGTTTTGATGGTTAGTCTTACCCACAGTAATATGTGAATCACACAACAATAAAGGGTCTGAGGGACAGAATATTAAAAGGAAGGATGTTTGCTTCAAGGTCTTTTGGTCTGTGTTTCCTCCAGTAAATTTTGTTCTTTTGTCATTCTATGGAGGCCCTTTTTACTAAGTAAAATTATTATTAAAAATTTATTAAGTTACCAAAATTCTGTTAGAGTAACAAGGAAATTCAACACTTAAAGCATGACAGCGTTTAAATTTCAAAGACATGTTCTGGATACGTCAGCTTATTAGTTATTTTTATTTTGTCAGAGGGATATAGAAGAGGGAGGATTTACCGAAGGAAGCTCAGAACACTTGACTTAATCCTTTCAGATTCAAGGTCAGAAGGTTAAACAGTTCTTTAACAGTCAGTAGTTGGAAGATGCGATAAAACTGCCTAATGCAGCATACTTTAAGGGAGGATGTCATGCCATTTACTATCTTTTTAAAAAGCTAAAACATTTCATCGCAATTCAACTGAATTCCAAATAATGGTCCACACTACATTTAGGGATTGAAACTGTTTCATGCCATCTGTTACTATTGATGGCAAGGATGGACATGACTGAAACCTGAAAAAAAAAAATGAGCCAACTTTTTCTAGTTTTAATGCCATGCCTGCAAAAATTACCCCAAAAAATTATGGTTAGTGCTGAAAAATTTGATGACATTTGATATTATTGAAAATGAAATATTATATTAATGAAATTTTTTAATATCTTCATCATAACTCCATGGAAGCATTCTGTGTATAATGACTTTACACAGAATTAACCTAAAACAGCAATATCCTTGTGCTGTAGCTTCTTTAACTATGCCTTTCCAAAGCCTTAAATTTACCAGAGATGCACGAGACGTTATTTGCTAAGATTAGCTGAATCAAAAGAATCCCAGTTTGATTTTGTGGAACAATAACACTTAAAATGATAATTATGCCAATGAAATAATTTACAAAATAAAAATAATTGCATGAACAATCAGGGCTGTCACTAAGATTTCAAGTTGGCCGGTATATGCAACTAGCAGGCGGGAACCTGAACTGCTAGGAGCAGCTCTTTTGCCTGGTCTTATTTTCCTTTGGCATCCTGTGAAAATAGTTGCAGACCCTGCTCTTAGTAGCCAGGGGGCCAGAATCCGCCTAGCCTTTGCCGCTAGTGACAGTGCTGAACAAGTAAATACATAAATGTGACCACCAGAAGAAAGTCTAGTTAACTGAATTTAACCCTTTCACTGCCAAATTTAGCCAAAAAGAAATTTTGACAAAATTTTCAATTTTGAATAGTACCATGTGAAAGTGCAGGCAGAGAGCTTTTATTTGAATGGTCACATCATAGGATTTCATTCACAGACTCAAAAGTTAGAGTCACCTTACAAAACTCCATCAAGCACTCTCGCAGTGAAAGGGGTTAAGATGGAAACATTTGAGGTCAGCAGTAAGAGTCTGTCGTAATATGTTGATACTTAACTCTTGAAGCTTATCCACCCCATTGTTCCCCATGTATTTGCTATGGTACTAGTGGAGAGAATTATTGAAAATCAAGACATTTTGTCTTTGTCGATCATTTCCATCATTTTCCTGATACTGATAAGCAGCTATGAGAAAGACAGTGGCATATTGTTCTTAGCTTGTTTTCTTCTAACTTTATATCTATCTGATCTTCTGCTGAAATTCAGCTCTAATAAGAACTAAGGATTTCAAGGAATTAACGCTTTCCCCCAGCTCTTCCTCTTCTTGCTTTTCCCTCGTGACATCAAAACAGTTACTGCTAAACATGTCACTTTTTCACCATTCATGCCGACAATCTTTCTGTTCCTCCTGTTTTCAATTATTCCATCACTGATGTATTGTCATTTTGGGGGAATGCCAATAGACCCTTAGCAGCTTCTCATTCAAGTGGTACAAAACCGCCATGCTAAAGAGTAAACAAAGGGCTCACATCATTTAAAATGGCTATCTCCTTCCACAGGAATGACTACCTGTAAAGGGCTTATGCTTTTCTGTGCACCAATAAGAACAGAGAGTTTAAACTTCACGTATACGGCAAACAGTAATTACGTCAGATTCAAGTTGAGAATTTCTCAAAATAGAAAATGAGCGGATAAAAACAGCTCAAAACAATTCTTATGGATAAAATATGCATGAAACTACTGATTTAGGTGTAGAAAAATTTACAGTAAACGACAAGTAAAGAGGAAACTTGATCACGTGGTACAAAATTCGCGTTTCACGTGTGACGTAAACGTGATGCTTGACCACTCTAATGCCACATACCTGTAGGTGTGGAGATAATTGGTTTTTTGGTGAAACGACAAATGTCTGACTAAGACCGCATATGACTGGACCTACAAAAGTGTGTTTGGATATCGTTATGTTAATAATAGCTGTAATAATATTTAGAATATATTTCCTTGATGCATTTGATTCGTAATTGAACAAGAGGATGTAAGGAAGTCATGATCTGCTAAAAAGCTCAATGCAGATTTAAGGAAATTCTATCGATTTTATCTTTGATGCCGACATTTCGAGATGCCACCACTGGCTTCCCTGCGAAATGACGTCTGAGGAAAATTGCTTCTGCCAATCAGAAGCACTGCCCAGATCTGGGTAGTGACACGTCATCAGTATGGAATTTTTGCGCTCATTCCTCAGACATCATTTTGCGAGGAAACGAATAGTGGCGTCGTGAAATCTTGGCTGCTTTCTCGGGCTAAGCAAAAATTATGTGTAAAATTCTTCGATCGGTAAGTTTAGAATTTGCCTCTCCTACACAAAAGGACGATTGCTTTAAATGACGGGAAACAAACAACAAACAAACAACGAAAAAGAGCGGGAAAAAAGGAGGAGATGGTTTAAGTTATGGAAAGGCAAAAGAGTGAAAATATAACGCAATCGACCGGCTAGAGTTTACTGTCTTTGATTGTTTGTCTTTAATAGGCTGGAGAACACACAGTATGATGCAAGCAATGGTGTTGGTGATGAAGGCGACTTTGGTGGTAGCCCCATGAGCGGAAGCCCAAGTCTTTGGAGTACAGATCGTAAACCGAACCAAGAAGACAGTACTGGAGAATAACAAGGTTTATCAGAGAAATAATCCCAAGATATATATCCTGTCGTTGCCTGCCCTAGAAAAGCTTTGTCTGAGGACTTTTCGGGACTGGTACATAAAGGCCACTATGGACCACTGGCCAAAGTTTGTTAACTTTCACTCTCCGTTTGACAGAGTTTAAATGTCAAATTTTATGAGCCAGGGTTTAAAGTTATTTATGCTGTTTCTTATGGTATTTTTGAACTGGCTGGCTACCTGTTATATTCACTTTTTATTCATGAATGATACACAACCATAAAGTATTTTGCATCTTCTTTTTTTGAAAAATAGAAAACCACGAAGTGATTCGTTCTGATGTGGTTAGAAACGACAGCTCAGCCAGGGCTTCACGAGATAACTTACTATTGTCTCTAAGAAGAGGCAAGTGTCACTTCTGAAAATTATACACATACATTTTAAAGGGAAAAGGCGTTATCCCAGTCGCGCTTAAACATTGCTTACTTGCTGAATAGAGGCGCCATTTAGGCGTTTACACTGAAGTATGTTGTGATCCGAACAGTGAAATACTCCTACCATTAAAACTCTTGAAATAGCGTTCTTGTTTCTTGTAGAAAGGTTAAACGGTAGGGGAAACAACCGAATGGTGGAAAGTGGAGAAAACCTTTTCCTGTTCTCACGTACTTCAGCCTCTGGAAAGGGGTCTCTGAAGGGAAAGTTCTTAGATACGTACACTTGACTGAATAGTAGGCAGGCATAATTTGCTATATTCCCGGAATTCTGCTATGCTTTATCGTTCATTGTTCATGGCGAGGTTTCTCTGAGTACTGTAGGTATGATCATTTCGGACCATCTTAGTCTACGGCAAAACGGGCGACTAAAACTTGCATTGCAGAATTGCTGCGAAACGTTTTTAAAAATTATATTATGCGTTTTACTACACACGTTCACACCTGTCTTACAATAAGTTAGGTTATTGCAAGTTGCGTGAAAACTTAGTTCTGATTGAATAAGATTACGCGAGAGTCACGACGGTTTTTGGTCGGTAAAACGCGCAAGGTGTACAGATTTTTTTAGTAGAACTGCTGTCTACTACTCTCTCTGCAATAACTTGATTTGCAGGACATGTTTTTTAATTCGTGGGTGGTAAAACGCGCCATATCGCTATTCAACTCGTTTTGCCGCAATGCTGCACAACAAGTGGCACATTTTTTTTGTCCGTTTTACCCAGCCTTGAGTGTTCTTGCTGTTTTTACAAGCTTCACAGACACATTTAAAGGAGTAAGTAGGATGCCTTTTGTTAGAGTCTTCCTCCTCTAGCGTTAATTTAGTCTGTGGCCACTAAATTGCTAGAATTACACTCTGAAAGCGGCAATAGCGTTATGTGCCTTACAAAGGTCTGTTTTGTAGAGTACAACGTGCTTCGATTTACGTATGTAGCCCTGTTGATGATTGGGTGGAAACTATTCACGTAGCAGTAGAGCTGTTGGCTAAAAGCTGGTTGGATTTTTAAGAAGAAAAGATACACGCCTTTATAAAACACTTTAAAACATATCTTAACAAAGAAGCCGATGTTTTTCATTTGTAAGATGAACACATTAAACCAACCGCTGATACTTTTTTACGGGCCGGTTAATAGCAAAGCAAGGGATTTCCTGGTCCGCCTGCGTGTGTTTTATCCACCTTAGCCTGTTCCAGCCGTTCATAAAATCCCTCGTTCTTTTTTTCCTGGCCCATTTTTCACCCACGCACTACTATCTGAGCGCCTGTAACAGGCTATACTCACCTGCTTCGGAGGCGGTTAAATTTAACCCATGGTAAGCCAAAAATTTGAAGCATGTATTATAACCTAGAAAGTATTACTAGGCCTTAAATTACTACATTAAAACATAACGCGGTCAATAATTTTAACCCTGGGTTAGCGTTATCGGCTTTCAAGGCCGACATATTCAGTGAGAGGTTGTTTGGTTGCTCTGACTCGAGAGTTAGTTTTGTGGTGCTACGCGCCTATCGCATTGGAGCAAGTTTCTATCCGTGCTGTCTAAATTGGTAAACTTATCTTGTACAACTCTCGGGAGACAGAGTTTTCTTCAGCAAAAGTTCATCGGGGTAGTAGAAATAACTGCAAAAGTTCTCCTTCAGATTCCCTTGCTCCTGCGGTTACTTCTGTCAGCAGAGTTTCGTCCTTCTCTAAACTCAGTCCTTAAAGGGTAAAACTAAAATATTTCCTTTCGCGTGTACAGAGGTTAAAGTCAAACTAACAACATCTTTTATCTTAAAACATTCAGTAATAAAGGCTACAAATACTTTCATTCAGATGCTCGTTGTTTTCCATAACTGACGACGGCAAGGGGCGGACTAGACTACAAAACAGTCCGTATTTATGCGTATTCAAGTACGCGCCAGCAGTCAAACAAAAGGTGTGGAACAAGGCTGAAAACAATGACGGGCGTGTGAGGCTCGCGCGGTTCGCGCGCGCAGGACTCTTACGCCACGCTTTACCGATTTCTTTACTGATTTTGAGGAAAAAACCGACTGTTTTGCAGTCTAGGGGCGGACGGCAACGGGCGTCAGTAGAACGCCGACTCGGGGTCGTGGTCGGGGCCCTTTGTTTTACCCTAACCAAAACATGGAACAGAAAACCATTTTACTGACACCTGTTGGCAACTAGGACTTCTTAAAAGTAACTCGAAAACACCCCGATCTGCACATGATCTGCACGTGCATCACGACCTCGTTCCCAGGGATTTTCCCTCCCATTTTCTAAGGATAAGCCCTGGGGACGAGGCTTTTTGGTTCATTTCTTCCTCCTTCTCTACACTACCCGGTGACTTAAATGAGCAAGTTTTTCTTTCCAAGGAAATAACGCTCGTGTTCTCGTGTGGAAGACGCTAATAGACGACGACCGTTTTACTAATTTCTTTCTGAATCTACATCTTGAAATACAGTAAATACCCGCTAATAAAAACCTACAGTTTTTGAGGTCTGGCGAAAAAAGGTTCTTTTATTTTGGGGTAGTTATTGGCAATTTAGGCTGAGTAGGTTCTTAATTTCTATAAGGGGATAGCTGTTGACTACCAGAAAAATAAATAAACTTGAGTTTGGTCCTTAAATAGGCAATATTTATTCAAAACTGTACATTGCAAACTGCCTCCGTTATGCAAGGTCCATGAAGACAATTGCGGTCTGTGCTTTTTAAATTTCACTTAGTACGATCAGCTTTGCGGATTTCAATGTGTCCAAATTATGGTCTTCATTCGAGCCAATTAATGGGCGGAACTTTCACCAGTTTCCCCAGCGTAAAGCGTTCCCCGCTACATCAAATTAATTCACTGGTATCAGTGATACACTCCTAGGCGGAGTGAAGCATTGTGCAATTAGCCTGCATAACAGGCGCTGCAAAATGGCGCGTTCGCCTCGCTTGGTTCATAAAGTGCCTGTTAAATGAAAGCAGGCTATTATGAGAGCAAAGTGTCTTACCCAAGAACACAACACAATGACCCCAGCAGGATCTGAACCCGGACTTAATTCCCGATACGTAATCCAAAGCACTGGGCCACCTCGCCTCCGGTTCCTCTTGCAGGCTAATGTATGTAGGTATGTATGCATGATTTATGAAAAGACAAACGGCAAATTCCCTGGAGAACATCACGTGGTGTGAATTGAAGAAACGTAACTAAACGTACAAACTAAAAAGGTCTATTGCTATCAAGATTGAAAGAGCGTGCAATCGCACAAATTGTAATGATCAAGTCTGAAATTTTGCTCTATTACTGGAACCAAAGGTCTCATTTTTTGTATATATTTATACTATCGAAACACTCCTATTAAGATACGAGGCTAATGAACATTTTGCCACTTACATAGCCTGGGATGTATACACTGATCAGTTGGCCACATCTACAAAAGCTGTAGGTTAAATCTTTAAAGTTTAATTAATAATTATTATTCTTATTAAAGTTTTGACCTTGATTGTGGTAAGAACATTATTTTAAAAAATAATCGAGAGTGATGTCAGTTTTGGTAACTGTGGCTCAGACTTCACGTCCATGGGCCAATTTAACAAAACTTTTACAGGTGTAATTTGCAAGTGTGCCCCTTGTTTTAGTGTGTAAAAACAAAAGCTACACTTGTTAATTACACTTGCATCAGTTTTATTAAACTGACTCCACGTTGCCGACTTCATCTCTGTCCAGGGACTGTTGAAAACCACGCCACGAAACTGAAAATCCTTCAATAATAATGACCGAGACCAGGTTTTATGTGCCCCCGAGTCTGAGCACACCTTGACAAAATCCCTTGTTTTCACTAAAACCGCCGGACGCCACAACCTGGTTGAAGTCAATGTTATCTAAGATCTTTCCGCGAAGCTAGTCGTATTCTGAAGCCAAAGAAGAAAGTAAGATGCTGTAGTTAGACACAGCCAGCGAAAGCGGCCATGGACGCGTTACGGACTTTTCGGTTTTCCTAATTTCCCTCTGACAGTAGCGTGCCCCGAAAAACATGACGGAAACGAGTGCAGGTGTCCAGAGTCTTTCGTTTTTATGTTCTGTTCCCCCATCCTTGTCATCTTTTACAGCCTACTTAGTTCACTTTCTCTTTTTGCACATTGCAAATACGCTTTTTCACTTCACCCTCCCCCCCCCCACAAACTTTAGGGTCCTTGCATTTTCATCAAAGCAAGAACCGGTAGAGGACAACTCTGATAACAGCGCCAAGGACACTGAACAAACACACGCACACTACGACTGGTTTAGAGTACCACGAGTGTGTTTGTTCATGCGAATAGTAGACCCATATCATAAGGGCATTTTCTATCACAAATAAAACATTAGACACCAACTGAATTATTTTCAAGGTTCTGCCTTTTTCGTCGACCGTTACCCCAGCGGAGCCGTCGTCTCTTATCCAGTAGAAACAAAGTGCGGTCGGGAGAGCGTAGCAGTTCTTGGCACAGCCTCCGAACCTGCCTGTCATACAGTCAGCAATACATCTGGTTACAGCCATAAAAATCGAGTGCATTATAATCATGGCGATAATCCACCACGTGAACCTTACAGTGAAGAATGTGATGGCCAGTAATCGGCTGGCGAGGTGAAATAACTGTGACACATAGAGGGCAGCTTTAAATTTGACAGATGAAATTGTATCCACAAGGTCGGTCTTTTGTGACTCAAGTTCACTTAAGCAAGTCAAGAGTCGCCATTCATCAGCAACAAGCGATGTCCAAGCTAAACTCAAGACGGAGACACACAGTGAAATAATCTGAATAATTGCAACCTGTTCTTGTTGGACGATTATAGCGTACAGTTGGATTATGAACTGAGGAGCAGATTCGAGGATAGCCTCAAACATTCCCGTCCATGTCGCGTAGTACATCAGATCCCTGATTTTGTTGTAACAGCCGGCATCCAAATCCTCTCTATGCCAAAGCTTCTTGAAATTCTTTGAGCATAAAATAAATGCTCGAAGTCTCGTGAAAGCGACCGAGAATGGATTGCAACCACAAATTAGAAGTTCAACGAGGCCAGGACGTTTGTCATCCGTCTTCATTAACTGTCGACAGTACAGAACCGAAAAAAACAAACTTGGTAAAATAACGAAGAACAGCCCCACACCAAACCATGTCTTATGATCATTGCGGTGAAACTCCATCAGCGTAAGTACGTCTGTAATTGGGTCAACGACAGATAAAATAGTTCCCACGAGGAGAACAAAAGTGTGATACCATTTGACTTGAATTAGTGTACGCGTTATTGTGTCCGCGTCTTTGCCCATGGCCAGCTTAGACGGAGTGTATTTTTTCAGCCCAAGACGTATGAGAAAAGCAGAGCCTTGTGATTTTTGCTTTGTGATCTTCACACGCAGTGAACTTATAAAATGTAGGTGTGTAGGGTTAATATTTGACAAGAATGGTGAAATGTCACGCCAGATTGTGGGTGTGGGTGGACAGTGTACGATTTTGTCAACATTTGTATAAAAAAATTCGCTCAAATTGCGTAACAGTGAAGGAAAAGTCATTCGGAGCGAAGCCATGTTTCAAAGAAAACATCCTTTATTCAGCAAAGACAGCTTTTGAACGCACCATTATATATTTATGATACACGCAAGGAAACAACTTAGCATTTAAATTCAACGTCCTTAAATAATATTGTAATATTGGCCACAACTATTAAAAGCAAATTTGCAAGTTAAGTGGTAAGGTCGAACCTCCCGTAAGCGACCACCCAAAATGCAAAGACTGAATGGTCGCTTAGTTACGGGAGGTGGTCGTTTACAAGGATCGACTGAACCACAGGAGGCCTCTTCCGAGAAGAGGTCCAACCCTCCCCCTCCCGGGTGGGGGGTACTGCCATATATGGGCTATAGATATGTGCCGCTGTCAAGGGTATGGTTTTCAAGCAGTTTACTAAGGGACAGGGTATATAAATCAGAGAGTTTGGGTCTAGAACAGGGTATCATTTTCCAGGAACCTGATTAATTCGTTGGAGATTTTAGTCGAGTCTAAATTAGGGAAACCGGGCATTGTAGCCTGCGTAGCTAGCGGGATTCTTGTGCCCGGGGAACTTTTTTGGCGGCGGAGCCGACATGCGAAGTGAGCGGCGACGCCGCGAGGGAGAATCCAAAATCTTCAAATTGACTTGTATACCCCACCCTTCTGGCGGCAAAACAATTCAGCACTTCCACGCTAATCCCGCCAGCTGCACAAGCTATGGGAATTGCCACTCAAAAATATTTAAAAAGATCAAGTCGGTTTTGTTTTGGTTGGACTGTGCTAGTGACCTCAGAAGTTTCTGGAAAACAGTTACTCTAGGATTGTGCCGGGGATGGGGGGAAAGAGATTTGGGGAGTTTAGTCTAGTATAGGGTAGCAAAATTCAACAGAACTAGCTCTGGTATAGGCTGAGGTTTCCAGGGTCCTAGCGGCACATCCCTACCCAAAAATTCCTAAAGTACCCTCTCGGGGGTCCAGACACATCTACTTTATAATGTATTGCATGCAATGTCTAAGTTATAACATCTGTATTTCCATGTTGTCACCAAAGTTCTTCCTATATTCTAAGAAGCATAGTGCACATTGCGAATACAGAGATCAGAGAATGCATCAAGTGGTCGCTTACAAGAGGTTAAAAACAATGGAAAATCATTAACCTTCAGGCCCAAGAAGTGGTCGCCGTCTCTTACAGGCGGAAACTCTAAAGGAGGTAAGTTAGGGCGTGACTCGGGCTTTAATTGACCCCTAAAGGAGAGGAGTGCATACTTAACTTGCAGAAGACGAAATAAGAACAGCAGTGATTTTATTGTTGCACTTAGGATCAAAAAGCGTTTATTACTTTTTTTACAATTTAGATATTTCTTTACACACAGCCCAGAGTGATACCTTTCTCTTAGGCTGTAACCACTTGTTTTCGTGTAGGTTAGTAAGCGCACACAAACATTTTGTTAGAGGTAAGTTTTATTCGCATTTATAGCCACCCAGAACGAAGGGGTTTTGAGAAAAACAAAGCATTTTCAAGTTCACTAACTTTGACTTGTATGTCCACTGGTTTCATCTCTATGCGATCTGCCAAAATGTTGAGAAGCGTTTCGTAAGAGCTATGAAAGCTAGTTTGATTATTTTTATTCAGCAAGTAGCAAATGTACTTAGAATCGTGTTCATCCTCCAACATTGTGACTTGGTTGACTCCACGGGAGCGCAATCTCGCAAAGCAATGCTCTTTGCTGCCTGCAGCCTCGTGCGAGCACGTGTCACCATTCCCGTGCGTGCACGTGCAAGGAAAACTTGTCACTTGGGGAGTGGTCAAATTACTAAACTCTTGCTCTTTTTCTCGGCTCATGAGACTTTTGAAAAGTTGCGCGTATCTGTCTTGGCTCTCCTCGTTTGTTGTTCTGTTCACGCGAAAGTTTTTCTGTTGAGTTCCAGTGTAAACCTTATCAGTGGGTTCCCAGGAGCCAAATATATCTGATCTACAAAAGGAAGCGTAAGCTGTGGGATTACGCACGAGTTTAAACTGTTCGTCTGTCCACGGGATTCCATTTTCCATCTTTTTGGCCTCGCAGGACTTCCAGCTTTTCAGCCAGTCAGTAAATAGAGGAACTGTTTCACAATATTCGTTTTCAGAGCTTGACAATACTGGTTCTGCACTTGCTTCTTGTTTCCTGCAAGTAAAGAGCCGTCCAGTCATTAACAGATCAAAACTTAGAAGTGGTTTCAAGGTTTCGCTTTACAATAAGATAAGCGTACCACAATAGACCTTATTCACCATACACCATCTTTGAACGCGCTCTAGCATCAGGGGGCAAACAAGTGATAAAATTTGCCAATACGAGTAATCGCGGTCGAGTTTGTTTATTCTACACGACGATTTCATAGTCATGCAAAATGTACACATCGAGTTTTGGCAAAATTTACGTCAGTACAGTTTGCCATGTGGACATCTACGGTCGCTACTGCATACAAAAAAGTAACAATGATCACTTCCATCCATATTTTGACATTATCGTCTTTAAGATGGAAAGGTCTTCATTTCCTATTGTCTAGAATAAACAAACTCAACCGCGATTTCTTCCATTTGCAATATTTTTCACTTGTTTGCCCCCTGACAAACCACGTGACGTTGCTTTAATCCCATCAGTCCTTAAGCACGTGCAAAGAAGGCGGGCATCTTGAATAAGGTCTATTTCTCAATTAAGGTGGCGGAACACAGTTTTGGTAGTTTGTGAGTATACTGTATGTCATTTGCCAAATCATGACAAGAGAAAGGTTGCAGCTCACAAGCTGAAACTTGGCAAGTGAAAAATATACTGATGAAAGATTTTGACTGACAGGTAAAATGTGACATTTTCGTAGTTTCCATAGGAACATGAACGATTGAATACAACCTTAACATTTCACTTTTGCTCAGTTTACATACAATTTGCTCATTAGATTTTCTTATAAACTTTCACACGGCTTACTATATTAATTATTAATCATCACCATCTGAAACTTATTTGAAAAACAGACGGGTTTTTAGATAATCAATAATATGATTGTACTGTAATTATTAAAGGTGTCACAAAATTCGTCTGTTCAACTTCCACTGTAAAGTTCTAATTATTTAAAATATGATAAAAGTAAAAGTTCTGCCAAATATTACAAATTGTAATGAGTAGACTTTGAGAAATTGTCTTCTGTGTAAATGTACATGGACCACTGCTTTTTTTGCCGCCATGTTTTATTGTCTAATTAACACGGGCTGTCACGCGAGTTACTGCTGACCGCCCGCAAAACTCTGTTCAGCCACCTTAAATGCCCTCGGCTTTCTTTCAGGTGGCATCGGCGTTCGTTTGAACTTGAGGGGAATATTCAGGTCATTTACCACGAAGTAGACCACGTTTACCTGGGTCCTGTGCAACCCGTTTACAGGGAACCGTGCAAGTTCTGTTACAAAAACTTGCACACTTTTTAAAGAAGGTAAATTCTGGCAGTTTGAATGGCCCCTCATTTTGTTCATACATTATGAGATTATGCGAAGGACATGGAAGTAGCACTTCGATCAGAAGAAAAGTTTTTAGTCAAGATAAAACGTTTTGAATATAAGCAGAAGCACAGCGAGAAAACAAAGTGCAGTTAACAGACCACTAAACTAGCTTCATGTACCGATTAAGAATTACTTTTGTATGACGAACATATATTGATAGGAACACAGCATATAGTTATGGGGGAGGGGGGGGGAGCTTACTATACATTCGATAATTTTTGTGAGTGCAAGGGAAACTAACATGAACATAGAACACCTTCGAAACTTCACTGTGGAAATACACACCAGCAATCTACACCCCAGCTTTTCTGCCTAATCAAAAAGTAGTACATTAAAATTGACGTTACCTTTCAGTTTTGTCGTCAATTCCATAGCAGAGTTTCATGGCAACTACAATAAATGCCATAGCACCAGCTTCAAAGTTGGGAATACAGGATTGACGGCCCGTGTGGGTAGCAGGATAGATTGTTCCCTTTATTTTGACTTTCTCCATCAGGCTTCGCACAATGCCATGCAAGAAACCTGTAAAAATTAATATGCGAATGGCATGGTTTGAGAGCAGCAATGAAGGATACTTCAAAAGCTTTAATATGAAGGGGGTGGGGAACACTACACAAAAGAAAACTATTAATATAGACCTTTAAATTCTGAAGGTGAGGACAACTACGAGAACGGGATACTAGGGAGTTTAAGCAACAATGATGGCGACGGCAACAAGAACGGCAAAAAAGCAATCCGTTTAATAAGCAAAACAACATCTTTTCACATGCAGTTGTGCAGTAAATTAGTGCTATAAAAAACCTGTGAGGGCTGGAAAGAGAGAGGGCGGTGATCGCACGCATCCTATTTTCGCTTGGCTTGTTTTATTTTCACGACACTTCTACTATCTCAGAGCCTGGAACAGGCTAATTCTCCTCTAAATCACAAGTCAATAAAAGGAAATTAGAAGAAGAATCTAGTAGATGATCAAGTCACTTAAAACAAAGAAAAGATGCTTATCCTCCCGTGAAAAAAAAGATAAGATCACCTGGCAGATGAAGGTCTGTGATATATCGTGCAGTGTAGGTGAACCACTTCTGTTCTGGAAATTGAGGAAGCTGTAATAATTTTGCAATTTGTGCCGCTATCTGGAGAATGTTTTTGAAAAGAGGGATTCTAAAATAGACGAAAAGAAGAAGAAGAAAACGTAATATCTCATGATGATTACAATGAACTGTGATCACAAGTAACTAGACTGCAATCAATTTGTGGTAGTGGAAATAAAAAATTAGTTTCACTAAAAATTTCTTCTTCAATAAAAATAATTAGATAAGAATAAGTTGTTACTGTAACTGATCATTAATAAGAAAATAATATCAGAGAAACGAGTTTTTTTTTATGTCTAACAATTCAAAGTCAATAAATTCCTCCCTATTTTCAATACTTCTCTGTCTGTTTACTGGTATTTGTCACCAAGTCTCATGTCAACAAACCAAACTAATGTGGTATTAACTCCGTCCAAAGCAGAGATTGGTGAGCTGAGATCAGTAAATGACATCAGCTCACTAGTCCCTGGCTTCTGAGAGTTTCATATATTGCTTCCTGCATGTACGTCTCCATTATTGTGAACGTGAGTGTCACTATAATAATTATGATTATGTTGCCACATTACACATGTTCCACAAATATTCAAGTTAAATTATCTTTATTGATCTGCATTTTTAGCACATCAGTTATTTCAGGAAGTTGGTAGCTTTTATGCATTTAATTAATTTTCTTCTTTGTAAATTACACTGTTAATGTTGACATCCCATTCCCTAGCCCCAATTGAATAAATCAGAATTTAAATATTAAAAAAGAACGGTAATCAATGCTCAAAAAAAAAAAAAAAATGGGGGGAGGAGGGGGCAAGTTGGAATGACTTTAATGCTTGTGCATGCGAGCTACAGTTTGCCCAAATGGCAAGCTGTAAAACTTACCATCTTTGCATCCTGTAGGACGGTTGACAAGCTAGCACAAAAATTTTTGTTATAGAGCACTCAAGGGGGTTCAGGTAACTACTGATATCTATTAAGTCTTAGACAGGTGTACATTTACACTTACAGCACACCTTACAAGGGTGGAGATAGGTGTCAAGAGAGTATAGTATGTTGGATCTACCCACTATGGCCACCTTGGGAACAGAACATAGTGGCCATTGTAGAGAGGTCTACAAAAGAGTCAATGTATAGACTGTCTGCTAAACAAAGTTGCCGTTGTAGAGAGGCAGTCTTTGTGGAGAGGTGACCGTTAGTGGAGGTTTGACTGTATTCAATATTCACCTGTAGAATCTTCCTTTTAACTGTCGGCGACTATTTTCAGTGTACAAGTACCCATTTGTAATCCAAAGCTAGAGGCTCATGACAGTAAATAAATCAGGGTATAAGCACTTACTTTCTGGGACACAAACAAGCAAAATCACCGAGTCCAAACTTCATGTGCCCTGGCATGTGTCTTGTAACCTGGAAGAAAGGAAGCTGGCCCTGTTTGGCCCACCTACAAAAAAAAAAAACTAATAATTTGTAAAAATATGGCTACGAAAATTTACCTTTGCAGTGCCAAAAACTTCAGACTCTATCATGGAAAAGATTGACTAACATAACAAGAAAAATATGACTCTGTGCTCTAGACACTTCTGCCAACCAAAGAAAAAATTCAAATATATTTTTGTATTATTCTAACAAATAAATAGTATTACGCAAAACTTCTACCAAAGAGGTTTCCTTTGAATGGTAACACCATAGAATTTAAGCACAGATTCTTAAGGAGTGAAAAATGTAAGCTTGGTCATAACTTGGTGCAAGAGTGGAAGGGTTACGGTTCTATTGCGTAAGCAGATACTAAATTGGATTATGTCCCACAAGTACATACACAAATGTAAGGTAGATGCACTGGGGCGTATAAACCATTCCATGTTGAATTGGACTCATCAGTCAAGATGTACTCTTTTGCAAAAGCTATGACAGTTGAAAGTACCTTAATACAAAATAAAACTGTTACTAAGAAGACCTTTTTTCAATGTGAGATGTTCAAGTATCACCAACTCTCTTTTGTTTTAGTTACTGTTGACTAGCCATTATTCTGGAGTCATAACGCATTTTAGCTAAAAGGAAAGAACAAAGAATTGTAAGTAAACCCAAGATCAATAAGTAGGATGGTCCAACCACTTCATACATGTTGCCTTAGTAGTTGCCTAGTTAAGTTTCCTGTACAAACCTCATTAAATCGCTCAGAAACACTGGTTCATTGATCCACAGCAAGCCAAGGTAGCAGAAAGCCAGAGTAAATTTGAGAGAAACATGGCCATTACGCACTCTATTTGTTTGTTTATTTGACCGACGAGCATGTGATTGCTTTTGCTGTTTAACTGTGATTGAACCAACAAATTCATCTTCACTACTCTCTAAGCTGTCGTCATTTGAAAGAACTTCTTCATCCAGTTCTCTGATGTCCTCTGGACAGACTGTAGATTTGGCAGCTTCATCAACATCATCTTTCAATGGAACCTTAGAAGGGTCATCATCTATGTGAAAATAAATTATTGCTCAGATCATTGAAAACTGACCCATATAAAAATGTTGCTGTTGTTTTTTTAATTGTAAATACAGTCAAAGGCTACATGTACTTCTTGATGACAGCCAAAAATCAATATCACCCAACACTGGGCCCATCTGATCTTAGGTTCAACACTGGGTTGATTCTAAGAAATGCTACTTGAAATTATTAATTGTCAAAATTCCTAGCTTACACACAGTGTTAACTAATTTTGGACACCTATATTGTAACTAGCTACGTTAAAATCCACTCTTGAAAACCACTGCCTGCCTATTTTAACCCCTTCCCACTCCATATTGAGTTACTACTATGTTTATAAAAGATTTATAAATGTGTGCAGAAAACTATATACATATAAAAAAATAATAACGAAAATTTATCCTAAGCATTGCACAGCTGACAGTTCTTACATGCCTCTGAAAGAATAGAATAGAATAGAAAACTTTATAAATGTGTCAGAGCCGTATAGCTTGGGGGCAACCCCATACTAATTTGGGGACACAATTATTTTATAAATTAAATAATTGGAATTACCTATAAAATATAAAAATAAAAAATATTTAAACTATGCATAATATATTATACTCAAATGATAATCTGAAATAACTGAGAGAGAATTGTAAAATTAAATGGCTATGATTTGCAGAGAGAACAGCTCTTACATCCATCATCTATCATTGAGCTTACATCACTAGAAGGTTCTCAATGTCCACTTTTCACATCTGGTTCTTAAAAGAAGAAAGTGTTTCTGACCTCTTATAGTGGGGAAATGATGAGCAGGGGAAAGCCCTATGATTGAGAGGATCAGCAATGTTTCTGGGTAAACTGGGCCATAATTATAAGTGTACAGAAGCTAGTGGCTAAATCACAGTCTGTGTGTTAAAGAAAAGAAGGCAAGTGGAAGAAATAATAATAAAAATTTTAAAATTCAATCACTTATGCCCTTGTTCTCAGAAAAATAAAGCTAAGACCAAAACATACCTTCATAAAATTCTTCATCACTGAAGTGTGAACACAGTTCTAATTCATCATCATCTGCATCATCATTTTCACCAACATCACTCTTCTGCTGTCCACGTTTTCTTTTATTCTTGCCAAGCAACTCAGCATCACGGCAGTAAAAAACAGCAGCTTTAGTTGATATCTGTCCTCCGGGGGACCCCGTAAAGGCATTACCAGTTATCTGAAGGTACTTGTACCACAGTTTAAAAACAACATCCTACAAACAAAATTTTTATAACAAGTTTGGTACCCTTTGAGACTTCACGAAGACCAGAAAGCTGAGCTCCAAAAATTAAATTTAAGAATAATGTGCAAGACTCAATAACTGGTTTCAGAGTAAACAGTTTTTTATTTTGCTTCCTTATAAACTCAATGTTTCTTGAGGTGGAGCCAAGTGAAACATTGAAATTGGTTGACAAAAACAACACTGACTGGTTTCTTGAAGGACCAGTCATTAAGCACATTATTAGCACAGTAAAGCAGGTGAAAGCAAAGTGGAAGCCAACTTTTACAGGAAATAAGTTGCATAATAGTTCCTTTTCATAAAGCATCCATGAGAATCTGAACTTGTTGTCACGTTTTTCACTGCCAAGCTAGACATGCATAATGCTATGTTTTTGAGTAAAAAAATGAGATAAAGGCCCTCATTGTAGTAACCCCGCAAGGAGAGACATTAGTGACAACGAATGATCGTGCAAACATTTTTCAGCTATACATATAGATATAACAACATTTTGGGTAAAGAATGGAATTTTTACCTTTAATGCAGGGTCAACTCCAATTCTAATGAGATATTCCACTTGAACTTTGATTATGTGCTGATAAGCTTCATACATAAACCAGGGCTTCCCTTTATCTGGAACTGTTTCACACAAAGATCAAAACAAAAAAGAACTACAGTCAAACCTCTTTAATACGGACACCAAAGGGACAGAACCAAGTGTCCACTTTACAGAGGTGTCTGTATTATAGAGGTAGGGAACGTATGATTTTTGGCATTTCTGGGACCAAACCAACTGTTTGTAATAGAGAGGTGTCTGTATTATACAGGTGTCCATAAGGAGAGGTTAGACTGTAATTATGCAAAGTAACAAAAATCAAATATTACCAGGCAATTGCCCAAAGGGAAAAGAAAAAAGATACCTACTTGCAAAACTGTATAAAACAATATTGCTGAGTGAAGACTTTTTGCAGCAAATTAAAATAATAGTAAAAAGGTTTAACCATTTCTCAGGTAGGTTGAGCATGATCGTCCAGGTGAACGTACTGTAGTCCTGAATAGGACAGTTGTTAACAGTTGTAACAGTGACTCAACAACAGTCAACAACAGTCCTATTCAGGATTACGTTCATCTAGACAATCACGCTCAACCTACAGTACAGCTGTACTTAAGTATAGTAATGTATGAGTATTGATTGATTAACACATTGGTTTTCTTTGGTATAATATTGACTGCTGCTGGCTTAAACCTGTTCAGCCCGATTGGTTGGATACCAGACTACACACTGGTAGGCCTGGGTTTGACCTGACCAACTCTCAGAGTCTTAAAGTAACTGAGGAGAAATAGCCTGTGCCAAAGACAAAACTAAACTCTGGTTAAGTCTATCTGTGAAACACTGAGTGCCAAAATCCTTGTCAGCTCTGGGTGCCCACCTGTGTACTAACAGGTACAAAAGCCATTGTTGATTTGCCAATCAGGATGAAAGGAATTTCAAAACACCCTTTCAGTACTTTGTTGAGTCTTTTGGGGAAACAGAACAATTAGGATCTGTGGTTAGCTTCCCAGACATTACTAACTGAGGTTAAACTACGTCTGCAACACAGGCTAAGCAGAAAGTGCTACCTTTGCTCTGGGTCTGCAACTAGTTGCACTTTCTGGTCTTATCAGATAAGGAAAAAAATATGTACTTTCCTCAAATCTCTGGCAGTGATCACCCCTACTAGATGCATTCACATTGAGGTTGCATTCATAGCTCATTACTCCATCATTTATATACTGCACCACACATATTTCCTCACAGAGAGTTGTATTAACCCTGAAAAGCCTGAAGGGAACTGTATTACCATTTTGCAAGCAAACTTGTACAAGGCCATTCCCTTTTTTCTCCATTTAGGATCAATTCCGACCGACCCAAATTTGGTATTTATTTTACAAAAAAAAAGGAATGACGTAGTTAAACCTTTTTTGACTTTAACTGATCCTTTTAATCTGAAAAATGGCAACAGCATTTCCAGGCATAGGGGTTTTGTTGGCATATCCTGTTTGCTCTTTATTACGACATCGACCATCAAATTTTCCGCCATATTGAGTTTGTGTTGATTTGGTGTGCATGTCTTGCTGTTTCCAGGCTCCACCGCAATGATGCTGGGGTTTCAAGCCTCCTGTTCTCTGACTTCTTGTGATTTTTTCCCTCTTTTTTTTTATCCAACTGAACGACCCGAACTCAAGAAATGCATATGATGCTAAACGAAAAACAAAAAGGGGATGGCCTAATCACAGAAGAGGAAAAATTGGTCTTACAGCCATACTATTACCAACTTACAAAATTGTCTCTTAGCTCCCCGCTTTCCCTTTTTTGACACCTGCAAATGAGCGTGTGGAACTTCACCCCCATCACCAACATCCTCATCTCTAATATCCTTGATTGGAGAGAGAAAAGCCAATCATTACCGATTCAGTTGCTATAGATATTTCAAAACTGGACAAATTATATCACTAGAAATATGTTATCACAAAATCCTCGTAAAGCTTTAAAGGATCAGCAGTGAAAATAAAGCAAAACAAGCCAAAGGAGAAAAAATGATCAAAAAACTAAAAAGAAAAAAATGTACAAAGTTAAAAATTATGGCTTCACTGGAATTCGAACTCGCTCCCTCTGAATCTCCTGTAAGTGAAATTATATCCTTGACCACTGCGCCTCGCAACCACTGAATGATTGTTATGCTAAAATTATTATACTTAAAGCATTTTTCTTTGCCATGAATGCTGTTTGAAGTTAGTGGAACTGTGTTTATTATGCACTCAAAGATGTATTTGAGGAAAATTAGCTTAAAAGGCATATTTGAAAGCCATTTTGCATTATTTTAGTCTTAATTCACTCTCGGGTTCAATGGCGGATGGATGAACAGAGCTGAAAGCAGTCTTTGATTTGACCAATCGGTCACATTGATTAGCAGGGAAAGAACCAATTCATTGTTGGTTTGCCTCAGTGCAACATGAATTCAAAGGTACAGATTTTAAGGTTTTGACAATAAAAAGCCAAAGTGAAACACACTTTTGAATAAAACATGATAGTGTACCACAGCATTTGCATTCACACTTAAAGTAGCATTGCTTGGCAACACTAAAATGCACCCTGATGTCACAACAGGATGACATCAACTGTAGACACCAAAGAGATATACATGTATAGAAATATTCGCAACTTGAGTTTCTGCCTCGCTGTGTGATCAACGCGCAAGGTGCGTGCACAGTGCGCAACGAATTTATCAACCTTGCAAGGTGCCTTCGGCTCAAAACAAATGGATAAATATCTCAAATGTTCTGTTATCGCATGAATATTTTACTACATGTTGTGGTTGGACAGTTAGCTCTTCTTATGGATCCATTGCATTCCCTAATTTGAGTGCAGAGTTGTGCATGCCGCATCCATTGCCGGTGTGCTTGGGGGAGGACTCAAAATCCAAACCGAGCTAAGCATGGAGGAAATAACTGGGTAGACAAACATAATAGCCCATTTGTTAAGGATTAGAAAAGCTTGTAGTGTTTAAAAGGTAAGTTTTCACGATGTTACGCATTTTTTCAAACCAAACATAGCAAAATCGTGAGCTACTGCATCAACGCATGGCGAAGCTGACATTGACCTGAATTGACTGATGAATAATTATACCTGCTTTAAACATGTACTGAGAGTGATTGAAAGTACTTCAGAGCTCGTATTTAGCCACTTAATATAGCGAATGACATTAACATTTACCTGTGACTGTGTACCGCAGCTCTGACAGAAATAAAGCCCGTCAGTGGAATCAAACGTTTCACTTTCGCACAAAACACACACCGGCATTTACGCAAAGGGGAGGAAGGCGAAAGCTCAAATATGGTATGTAACATCACACGAAATGTCTACCTCATCCATAGTCCTGCGCGACCACAATTGGACCTTGAACCCAGTAAACAAAACAAACCAAGCAGTTGCAAATGTTTACTTCGGCTCTGCAATTTATAATTAACGCCTTTTCCACCGACGGTTTGGAGGGGGTAAGTAAATTGTCCTGATTTGTTTTCTTTGAATTTGAACCAAAAAAATATATAAGCAAGTAAAATAAAAGTACAAGCTTGTACCGACCTGTGTTAGGCTGGGCTGTGAGTTTATATTGACCAAAAATTTAGCTTTCTATTACACCTGTAAGCTAACTATATTATGAACTCGTACAGTGTTTGTATTTATAGCTTAATTTAAATCGCCGTCCAAAAAAGTAATAATCACTGCATGTACGTGATAGTGTGTTTAAATTCGTTCTTCATTAGAGAAACTTTGTACACTCAGGTCCACCCCTGCATTTAGTTTTAAATGTATAAATACGCACTTGTCGCCTCCAAGTGGAAAGTCCCGCACCCTCCTGGACTTAGATTAGACCAGGCTTGCCTTCTAAATGAAGCAAATTCCTTGCTATGCGAAGCAATTTCGTACATCAAAACGCCACTTTTTTTCCCAGTCCCAGGGGCAATACAGTCTTCAAAAATCACAAATGTATTTAATGTTGACCAAAATTAAAATATTTCAAGGATTTTTGCATCGAATTGAATTTTTACAAATATTAGCATCAACAATGCTGTCCATTTCTCACACAGCCAAAACATATTATTATATTTGGAAAACACTTTACAATATTATTATTGTTAAGTTAAACCTTGACTCATAGAATTGGTATTCCAAACTTCATAACCTCTCCAACCAAGTGATTATGTTTACATGAGCCCTCCAGCTTATACTCCCACGCAGAACAATGTTCCAGTTATTTTCTATTAGAAGCAAGAATATAATGCTTCTTATCCCGTACCATATTTTATTCAAGATGGTGTCAAAGGCTAATCCCTGTGTAAACCCTGCTAATGGTTCCCTGCTGGCTGATACTGGCATCTAGTACTGTCCAAAACCCTGCATACAGTGGCAAAAGTGACAGTCTAAAACTGCTGGAATCGCCCGCTAATGCCTATCATTCCGTGGGTATGGGGGTGAGGAGCAAGGAGACTCAATCATAGACTACTTTATGTTTATTTGGTAAATCAATGTGCTTATATTCATGATCGAAGCGATTATACATGATTAGATAAGCTATTACAAGAGGATATACGTGGTTTCCTTTCTGGAACCCTAAGCACATGCATTGTTACACCCTATTTAGTTACGCAAATCCTGTGCAGCTAGATACGAGAAATCAACACATCCTACACAAATCCTATCTGGTAAAAGGGTGTAATTTCCACATTATAGGAACATCCTATTTTGTAGCTTTGCACAAAACACATACTTGCACGCTTGCTTTAGCAGCAGTACAATCATATTTCCGGATTGTAACAACAGCTGTTTATCAACTTAGAACTAACATGTCACTATTAGATGAACCAAGTGTCACACTTATTTTAACTTTACTACAGCACTAATAAAGAATCTTTAAACTAATTTCAGCATTTCAGCCTATGACGTTAAACTTAAGAGATGCCTGCATATGAAAAGACTGCCATGATCGATGATCTCACAGTTGATGACAAGGCGAAAGATGAAGAAGGAATCTCACAAAGTAAGCCATCAATGAAAGATCTGAATGCTCTGGTGAAAGATGTAGTTTCACGTAGCTCCTGGTGGGATCTTTATGGCATTGACCTAGCCATCATGTGTATCAACTTTGCACTGCTGCCAATCAGCTTACTACTTTTGGGATCTGCCAATGTTCCTGTGTTTGTTGGTGGTTATCTTCTGTTAGCCTACATTAACGCCACCTTTACTGTAAAGTTGGCTCATGCAGTTATTCACAATGCACTCGCTGGCTCATCGCATTTCTGGAATGGCCTTCTGTCCATATTCTTTATCGAGATCTGGGGAGGTTTTACGGTAGAAGGCTCTTATGAAGCTCACATCCAGTTTCATCATCCTTACACCAATGTAATAGGCCTTGGTGACTCAAGTTCATGGCGAGTACCTTCCTTGGGCTGCGATACATACCTATTTATTGCACCTCTTTTCCTACACTTGCTTTACCCTCTAGTTGGCCTCAAATTGCTTGCTGGGCGTTGGTGGTCCAAAGCCCGATACCTGTGTCTAACATTCGTAGGCTACATGATGCATTTCTGTTTGTTGCACTACATTGCTGGTCTGTCCATACCAGGTGCTATCTTGTGCTACTTTACTATGCGTTCAGTATTTTCCATTCCTTACATCCATGTTAATATATTCCAGCACATTGGCTTACCAATGTATGATGTTAAAAAGCGTCCAAAGCGACTGTACCAGATGGCTTCATCGGCCCTTAATCTCCCTCGAAATCTTCTCCTTGATTTCTCCTTTGGTCACTCAATAATCAGCTGTCATGTGGAGCATCATCTATTTCCGCGACTGTCTGATAACATGTGCCTAAAGATCAAACCTGTGGTATCCACCTACCTTAAGAGCAATGGCCTTCCATACCATGAGGCCCCCTATCTCAGTCTACTGTGGAAATTTTACAACAATTATGATGAACTTATGGTCAAAGCACCACCAATCACGGAGTTGATTGGTATACAGTAAAGAGATAGCCGGCGTTGCAGACTTAAATCAACTTTGGTTAGTAACATCTTCCAAGCAGCGCCAAGATCCTTGTCCCTGCAGCCCCTATTGGGCTCAAGAATCCTGATTGGCAAATTGGTAATGTCTCTTATAACAGGGCCAGTCATGGCTCCTACTCAAATTCTGGTAGACAGCTGGGAGCCCAGAACAAGGATTTCAGCACTGTTTTGCAGATGGACTTAACCAGAGTTTAGTTTTGTCTGTTAGAGCCCTTATCACTTTTGCAGCTGTGAAGAGCATTAGCTAAAAAGTTGCTTGTAACGATGCATTGACTGTGTAAATGGTGTCTTGGGAAAAAATAAAATCGACTCCCAACAATTCGAATCTTCAAGGGAAGTAGAAAAAAGTTCGCGTTTTTGGGAGTTTGAGTTATCGAGGGTAAAATAATATAGAAAATGATCTAAGGGGAAATGAAAATTGCTTCGAGTTAGCAGGAGGTTGGAGTTATGGAGGGTTCAAGTTACCGGGAGTCAACTGTACTTCTGTTAGCTGGGATTCAGGGGTAGAGTTCTTTGTTTTACTTGAGAAATGTCACTAAGTCTCGTTTATACACAACTGCAATTTTTTTGAACGGCTTTAAAGTCTCTGATATAGATCAACTCATTCTTGCACTAGAATTTAAATCTGGGGTTATTTTGGTCTAAAAACCTGGAAGTAAAGTTAAGCCGTGTCTTTATCAGATATAAAGACACTCATAAAACATTACTTTCTTTTGGTTTTTTATGAATTATTTATGAGTTTTTGAAGTATTCAGGTATGTTTCACCAGCTATTAAGCATCTGAAAAAATTGTCATTCTTCAAAAGATTTCACAAAAATAATTATCATCGTAGTGAAGTTTATTGTATTTTTGTTCTTGTGTCTTCCAATAAATTTCATAATATTTAATAAAGTTATTTAACTTCTAAATGAATGCCACATTTGTTTTGGATCTGGAGTAATAATATTCCTGATATGGACTGATATGTAGTTTTAAAATTACATGTAACATCTGTACACTGAAACTAAATCAGTTTAAATTGATTATTGTTTATCTGACAGGAAAATATTCTTTAAAAGACATATGTAACTAATAGTTACTAAAAGTTTTTCAAGGAAGAAGGGCAGTGTTTGTGGCCCAGCAGTAGTGGCAATATACAGTTATTAAAATGATGCAGTTTGTTGGGCACTTGTAAGCTGGATTTTTGTCTTTACTGTAACAGAGGGATTAAGATGACCCTCACGTCAGATACTGATATCTACGTTCAAACAGCATTTTACTATAACTGGCACCATTTTACTCTACTCTACCATGGCGGGAGAGCATTTGAGATTATTATTACTAATAATATCTTAACTTCAGGTATTTTAGTTTTAACACAACTTTGCTGCTCACTCAGAACACTTCTTAGTCATTTAACTTCTGTAAGCCACACGCCACTTTTATACTTGTGAATAAGGGGTTTAATAAATGAGTTCTTTCATAACATGCATTTGTATTGCTTCGAACCATTGATCCTTAGCCATGAATCGATCCAAGCAATTCCACAAAATTTATGATTAAAAACCAGAGGGGTCTGCAAGTTCACTTGGTGTCAAATTTTTAGCATTTACATTGTCAAAATACTTTCCTGTTATTGGTCTTTTACCATGATTAGACAACTTTCTTCCAAGTGTACTTGTTTGAGTACCGGTAGTTGCTTTGTAAATTTCATCTTTTGGAAGGAGGGCACCCTTATATAACAATCATTGACAGGGTGCTTGCTAGAATAAGAAAATCTAAGAACACCTTTTGAAGGTACCAGAATCTTCCTTAAGGGCTCTCTGACCTATCTTTTGCGCATTGGTACAAAAAAGCATTTTTACTTCTGGTAATTTTCTGGCCAAGGAGCCACCCAGCTATTGCCCCCCAACAGAGAATTTTCAGTGCATTTAAATCAGTCTACTGTGTGTACATATAGTGATCAATTTTTAGAGGGTATTGGAAGGAAGACATTTTGCTCCTTGGTAAATAATTTCAAGTTTAGAAATGGCTGTCACAGTGCCTTTACCATGATACAAAAAAATGCTCCTCTATAGTTATGAAGAAGATATCAGACAAAAATTATTGATCAGGGAGCACTAACCACAAAAAATGTTTGGTGATTTTTGCAGGAATAGCATTAAAACTTGAAAATATTGAGTCTCAATCCATGTCCATTGATGCCATTGGTATAACAACACTGATGACAGGAAACAGTTTCAATGCCTAAAACAACGAAACTGAACCAATTATATTTTGTAGAATTCAGTTGAAGCAAAAAAAAAAAAACATTCTAGCTTCTTAAAAAGATGGTACATAGGTTGACATAGCCCCCCTAAAAGGACTAAAAGTCAGTTTAATGACTGATGGCTGTTTTTAGACTTGATTCCCAAAAGGCCCTACAAAGGTCTACAAGGTACTGAAACATTTCTAATGGTGGTTATTGTAAGACCACAAATTTTCTAACCTTAAGGGTACAATTAGCCTGTGTACAGATGCCCATTCCCCTAGAGGGAATGGGAAATCTGTTCACAGGCTAGGGTACAATAAGTACCCCCACCGATTTTCTGGGGAAGTACATAATATTTTATTTTTTCAGTATAGAATTCTATCGATTTGAGAAAAGAAATTTTTTTGCACGGTCCTTCAATTATCTGGTTAGAGTGAATTTTACTAAAATGTAAACAAAGTACGACACAATGGTCAGACGTGTTTTTAGGCCAAATTATTCAATGATCATTGTTTACATGATATGCTAACTTTTGTTTGTTTTGCATACATCGTACATTCCACATGTTATCGTGCCTTTTTGTGCCCGAACTAACTTATTTGATGAAGGACTGGGAACATTTTTCCCTCACAACTAGAAAATCTACTTCCCCTCAATATTCCGTAGAGCTTTAATCTCCAAGTGTGATGAAGTCAAAGAAAACGTTAAGAATTGCTAGTAGAATAGACCTTTTCACTGTTTTTTTCAACTTTTGACATGGACAAGTTGGGGAAAATCTGTCGACACCAATTAAAAGAGCGCCTAAAGATTAGTAAAATAATTATTGCTTAGTTTGAAAGTGTTTTGTTGAAAACTAATGAAGATATATATAGCTCCTCAAAGTTGCAGAATTTTACAGACATTTGTAAAGTATGGGGCACAAACTTGCCCCTTCCCCACCTCCCACCATACAAACATCTGCAAATTTTCGCAACTTTGAGGAGCTTAAGATGTATCACTTTTAAATTTGGCAGTTTTACCGATATTTAGGCGCTCAGTGTTGTTTGCCTATGTCAAAAGCTGAAAAAAATAAAATGAAAAAGTCTTTGGAGCGTGACCGAAGTATGATGCTTGGTAACCGCCCTAAGGTTTTTATGGCGTCGAAAACCGTGACAAGGTCTAGGCCTTTTTCAAAAATACCATAATACTCTTCGTTGTCCCTCCAAAATTTTGCATAAGCATTGTTTTCAATTTCTCTTGGGACTAAGGCCTATTGTAGCTCATAGTAGCTTATTCCTTGTTTTAGTAACTACGGAGAAATCAGTTGCCAACTCGTATAAAGAGCGCGAGATAGGTCGTGAAATCGTGAAACACACGACTATAAAGTCTTAGCAAGTCTGCAACACTACAATGACCCCTACAATAGGTTATTCTTTTCTACAAACGTTAAAAGCGAATGAAATTAACATTTACCTATGACTGTGAGGTGCAGATGTCCAAATAAATAAAACGGTCTTCCGCATGTGTGCTCCTCCTACGACGAGACAAGGCATGCATCGCGTGCGGACTTTTATGCAGTCTTTACGCTGTGTAGAATCACACGAAACGTCTCATTCCCAGTTTTCCTCTCTTCAATTAGTCTGCTACACAGCCGTTTTTAGTGTCGTCACGCAACGTTCCTCCCCACTAACGGCTGCTGAAAACCGAACTACATTCCTTTCCCGTGATTAGCCAATTATAATTCAGTTCCCATTTTCTGGAAAGTGTTCGCGCCACCTTTGCGGTACTGTGACTCCTCCAATCACAGCTTTGCTTTTATCGTTGCCCCATGTGTGAATGACAGAATAATCAAAATCGTCGCGTGAAAACAAGCAATTAACTACAGTGTTGTCGTAGTCGAGTCCTATTCAAAATTTAGGAGATAAGCAGCAACAGCAAGAAAGTCAAGCAAATTGCGATTCACAACATGGATGTGCTCATAAAGTTGCCAGGTATAGTTTCGGGAAATCGCTCATCGATAATTTATAAGATTGCTTTTTGACTCAGTACCCTAGAGAGTTTAGTCTTCCCAGAACACAATGAGCACATCCGGTACATTAAATTCTTCACTACATATCAGCACATATGCACGTTAAATGAAGAACCAACCGATCCTGGTAAAAGTTTTCTAGGCCTATCAAACCTTCTTTTCACTTGGAACTTTCTTGACCGCTTAAAACAAACTTTTTTGCAAATTAACATTTTCGTTGCTTGAAAACACAGAGCCCGTCTAAATTCAGCGACGATTGATTGATTTGTCGAAAACTGAGAAGCGTGCTCGCTGCCTAGCACCCTGCGGCTCACGTATTGTCAAATTTCTTGTGCATGATTGGTTTGTTCGTTAGACCACAAACACAAAGGGAAAGGAATGTAGTTCGGTTTTCAGCAGCCGTTAGTGGGGAGGAACGTTGCGTGACGACACTAAAAACGGCTGTGTAGCAGACTACTCTTCAATTCGCTCCATTCGATTAGGTGTTCTACCAGGTCATCGCAGCAGAGATTCCATGAGATAGCGCATGCGCATAGCTGGTCAATTTTGTGCTTGCGTCGCCATTTTGGCAAGGCTGGTCTGTTAGCCCATCACAATCCGGTGTCTATCTTCACCATCGTAAAGTTATATTTCTTATTTATCATACATCGGCAATCTTTGCGAAGCAAAGTTTATAACTGCCGTGTTTTTTCATTCACTAAAAATGCCTACGCCGGGTTCCGGCGTACTTGATGAAATCCTTAATGTGACCAAGGAGTCACTGACCGAGTCAAATTCGCCGAATTTGACAAGCAAAGGAACTACGCTTACAGGATCGTCTCGATCTCCAAAACAACAATCCACATCTGCCGCAAACACGAGTCAGGCTGCTGACTCTGCTGAAGGCGAGGGAGAAGCTAGGCTTCTCCACAAACTCGACCTATTGACAAGCCTCGTGCAAGACATGGTGCCCGTTGTCAAAACTTTACAAGAGTCTCACGATGCCTGGCTATTGCAAGATGTGGATGATGTCGACGCTCCTTCGTTGGCTGAAAGCGAGAATGAGGAAGGGCCTCCGCCAAAGCGACCCAGAATCACGCCACAACCGGACGAACAACCCCGTTCCAAAACGACAGATACTACTGGCAAAGTGGATTCACTTGTCACCGAAGTGACCGAGGACGAAGTCACGGGGCCAGCGATTTCGGAAAAAATCGCAAACGTTCTTAACAACATCCTCGCCAGTGGTCTTAATGATCAAGCCACTAAGCGGCGAAAAGAGAACATTCATAGGCCCACAAACAGCACATTACTTGCCCAAACTCGTGTCAATTCCGAGATTTGGGACATCGCTAAAAAGCCAACACGAAGCATGGATGCTAGACTTCAAGCTTTGCAAGACACCCTGATTAAAGGGCTTATTCCTCTTGCAGACATGACAGGAAAAGTGGGTGAATCTTTGGATTCAGGCGCTGCAATGCCAACCAAAGAGACCCTATGGGAAGCTCTATCGAATTCCCTTCTTCTTGTAGCGGCGGCTAACCACAGCTTGAATATTTGCCGCCGTGACTTGTTCAAAACAGATTTAGATGACAGCTACAAGGCCTTGTGTAATAACAAGCACCCAATTGGAAGTGAACTGTTTGGTGACGACCTAGCCGAACGGCTGAAAACAGTTACCGAGAGTAACAAAGCAGCCAAACAGCTTACAAGATCCAACAAGCCAAGTTCTCAGAAGTATAAAGGGCCATCACGGTCTTTTTTGGGCCAAGGGGGGCGCAACCAGCGCCCCTTCAACCAGTACAGCAACCATGGCAGAGGCTATCAGAGGAGCAATCAGCCCTCATACAGGAAGGAACCTCGCAAAACCGAGACGAAAACAATGAAACAGACTGTGAAACAGTCATGACTCAACCTAAGGTAAGCTCTGTACCCACCCTTATTACTGGTGGAAGAATTAAGAATTTTCTGGCCAAGTGGCAAGAAATTACCTCTGACAGAACTATTCTGTCCATCGTACAGGGCTACAAACTTGAGTTTTATGACATACAGCCTGTTCAACTAGGTAGAGTTAGACCTACCATTCTGTATACTGAGGCAGCAGTGGCCTTAGATCAGCAGATTCAAAATTTTTGTCTAGGGGTATCATTGTTGAGTCCCAACATGAATCCACCGAATTCATATCCCCGTTTTTTCTCCGAGCTAAGAAAAATGGGAGTTTCAGAATGATTCTGAATTTGAAAGAATTCAATCGCTTTATTGCTTACCATCATTTTAAGATGGATAATATTGAAACCTGTGTTCACTTGATGAAACCTGGGTGTTTTATGGCATCTATTGATCTTTCAGATGCTTATTTTTCTGTACCTGTTGACCGGTCACATCAAAAATATCTTAAGTTTTTATGGAAAGGAAAGCTTTATCAGTTTACTTGCCTTGCGCAGGGCCTTGCCTGTGCTCCCAGAGTGTTCACCAAATTACTCAAACCTGTGTATGCATACCTCCGACTCAAAGGACATGTTTCTAGTGGGTATTTAGACTCCTTTTTAGAAGGAGACACTAGTGTGGCCTGCTCATCCAATGTCCAGGATACCTTAACCCTTTTAGGGGACTTGGGTTTCTGCCCTAATTTGGCTAAATCAGTTGTCCAACCTACACAGATCCTTGAACATCTGGGTTTTATTTTAAATTCCTTAGACATGTCTGTTAGCATAACAGATCACAATTTTGGCAAGCTACTTGCCTCAGCACATCAGGTATTGCAATCTACATCTGTTCCTGTTAGACTGGTTGCTCGTTTAGTGGGCATTATGGTATCTTTTTTCCCTGGTGTAGAGTATGCTAGACTTTTTTTACAGACAACTTGAGATTGAAAAATCAACTGCTCTAAAAAATTCCAACTGGAATTTTGAAAGTCCTATGATGTTGTCTGAAACAGCAAAAATGACATAGTCTGGTGGATGAACCATGCCAAAACATGCAAAAGGAAGATTAGTCATGGGAAAATCACAAGAGAACTCAAAACAGATGCCTCTACCCAAGGGTGGGGAGCCTTTTCAGATGGGATTTCCACAGGTGGCAGGTGGTCCCCGGAAGAAGCTCAACTGCATATTAATGCCCTAGAACTCCTCGCTGTTTTTGGGGCCTCAAGGCTTTATGCCCTTCAGAACATCACTGCCACATTAAAGTTCTGTCTGATAATACCACCACTGTATCATATCTGAGGAACATGGGGGGATCCCATTCTACCCCTTGTAATGATATCTCCAGAGACATATGGCTTTGGTGCAAGGACAGAGATATCTGGATCACACCTGCACATATCCCTGGGGTCGAGAATATCGAAGCAGACTCTGCTTCCCGGTTTTTAATGACAAAACAGAATGGAAACTGGACCAACCAGTGGTGTCAGAAATTTTTTCCTTATTTGGCAAACCTGACCTTGATTTATTCGCATCCAGACTTAACCATCAACTGTCTCGTTATGTTTCATGGATCCCTGATCCTAATGCTGTTGGAGTAGATGCTTTTACATTAGACTGGGGAACACAATATAACTATGTTTTTCCTCCCTTCAGTTTAATTTCACAAGTTCTACAAAAGGTGGAGGAGGATCAAGCAGAAGCAATCATGATAGCCCCTCATTGGCCAACACAGTCCTGGTTTCCCAAATTAACAAGACTTCTGGTGCAGACCCCAGTGCTACTCCCCAATCGTCCCAACATCGTACACCTCCCCTTCAACCCAGGGAAAGAACACCCATTGGGGCAAAACTGCTGCTGATGGCATGTCACTTATCAGGAAAGTCTCCAAAATAAAGGCATTTCAGCGAGGGCTCAAGAGCTCATTCTGCAGTCCTGGAGGGAAGGAACCCAGAAACAGTACCGAACATACTTACAGCGGTGGACCACATTCAGCAGTGGACGGAATACTGATCCCATTCAACCAGCTATATCAGAAGTCATAGATTTCTTAACTGAACTGTTTGATAGTGGACTCGGCTACAGTAGCCTGAATACTGCTCGTTGTGCTCTATCATCTGTTATCCACCTAGATGATAACAAAACTGTGGGTTCTCACCCATTAGTTAACCGCTTTTTGAAGGCTGTATTTAACAATAGGCCTAGTATACCTAGATACCAGTCGGTCTGGGATCCCACAAGCGCTTTTGACATACCTTCAAACATTTCCACCGCTGGAAAGCATAAGCCTTTAAAGAGCTTACCCATAAGCTAGTTATGTTAATAGCACTGGTTACAGGTCAGCGATGTCAGTCTTTCCATCTTATGGATATTACTAGTATGCAGAAAAATACTGACCACTATAAATTTATTATTAAGGATATTGTTAAGCAGTCAGCTCCAGGCAGGAATCTACCAGAGCTTATCCTTCCTGCCTTCCCAGCAGATGGCAGGGTTTGCGTTTACTCAGTTCTCTCAGAATACATTAAGTGTACTGCACCCCTTAGAGGTGGAGAAACCAGACTCTTTATTAGTTTTGTTAAACCCTACCAGGCCGTGTCTAGGGACACTATTTCACGTTGGATTAAGAATGTTATGATCAAGGCTGGTATTGATGTGGAAGTGTTCAAACCCCATAGTACCAGAGCTGCTTCTACCAGCAAAGCAAATGCATGCCAGGTGCCTATAGATGTGATTCTTAAGGCAGCGTCTTGGAAAGGAGATTGCACTTTCCGTAAGTTTTACAACAAACCTATTGAAGATAATGTTTCTCGTTTTGGCCAAGCTGTTCTTGGTACCAGCATTAATGTACAAGCCTAGCTTTCTAGGTCTTGGTTTTTTCTACTACAGTTAATAAACTAGGACACCAGTTGTGTTTTATAGGTGTTCCTTGTTTATTTTGTCTTCGTGTCCATATGGCTTTGAAATCTCATGGAATCTCTGCTGCGATGACCTGGTAGAATTGTAAATTAAACGAGACTTACCTGTAAGGTGAAGTTTGATTGAGGTTCTACCAGGTCATCACAGCAGCAGAGATTACATGAGATAGCGCATGCGCATAGCTGGTCAATATTAAAAGCACTGAGTGTCCGTATGTAATAAAAAGAAGACCCAGTAGGCCCATAACAGGATATGGGCTGAGTATGAAACCAGGGAGGGTAACAACTGGGAGGGCATGTAATCTCTGCTGCTGTGATGACCTGGTAGAACCTCAATCAAACTTCACCTTACAGGTAAGTCTCGTTTAATTTACAATTTTCTTCAATGTACTGTTGAGGTGAGCTTTGAAGCAGATTGTCTTAATTTGTAACGTTGCAATCGTTAGGTGGGAACTAGTTAATTAGAAGCCTGTTGCTGGCTCCAAGATAGTAATGTGCAGTCGAGTGCAATGAAAAGTTGGCTCGCTTTATTTTCGCGACGTCACAGCTACTATCTGAGTCATCTGAGAGCCTTGCAAAGCTAAAAAAACAAGGCTATTATACCGTACAATATATGTCAGGTCCCGAGGAAGGGATTTGTCAAAAGGCCGGAATCCGGAATCCGGAAAAAACACACGCCGAACGTCGAATGACTCTGAAGTTTAGTGATCAGGGTTAGGAAACTGAGTGAATCAAGTTCAGGTCAGTTTGCCCAGTAAGATGACCTTAAATCAAGATTCTCTCTTTCCCTAAATGGAACCTGATTCACTCAGTTTCCTAACCCTGATCACTAAACTTCAGAGTCATTTGGCATTCAGCGTGGGTCTTTTCCAGATTCCAGATTCCGGATTTTAGGCAAACCCCCAAGGAAAACAGCCACTTTTGTTTTCCCCAGAGTTCTGACTTTGCTTTTGCTCATTTTATGGAAGTCTTCTCTTTCCGTCTGGAACAGGTTCAAAGGCTCTAAGACTCGGTGTCCAGAATAAGCCATTAATAATGCCTACCCACCCAACTCCCCTGCCCCATGCCTATAGGAGACCCCCGCTCTTGAAACTGCAGCACTCTGACAACTTGGCCATTCTGCTTCAATTTAAACTTTGATTGTACACTCAAGCTCAGATGATACAGTGTACGTAACAAAGGCAAAAACAACATCAAATCTGCTTCAAAGCAGTGGAATAAAGTAATATTTTTCATTTCTGTTACAGCTCCTGAATTCCCAACATCATTGTCATCTTTAATCTGCCCTTAACTAATTATGAATTTTCTTTTACTAATTTGCAGTATCTAAGTTTGTCATATGGTTGGACCCTGTCACTAAAGCCTTTTAAGATGCCTCCATATGGAAAGACTTATTCAGTCAATGATCTGATAGAAAATGACAAGAGAGATGAAAAAGAAATCTCAATCACACCAAACAAGCCATCAATGAAGCAGTTGAATACTCTGGTGAAAGATGTAGTTTCACGCAGTTCCTGGTGGGATCTTTATGGTATTGATCTAGCAATCATGTGTATCAACTTTGCACTTCTGCCAATCAGCTTACTCTTTATGGGATCTGTTAATATTCCTGTGTTTGTCACTGGTTACCTTCTGTTTTCTTATATTCATGCCACTTTTACTGTGAAGTTGGCACATGCAGCTGTTCACAATGCACTGGCAGGCTCATCACGTTTCTGGAATGGCCTTCTGTCCATATTCTTTATCGAGATCTGGGGAGGTTTTACTGTGGAAGGCTCTTATGAAGCTCACATCCAGTTTCATCATCCTTACACCAATGTGATAGGTTTGGGTGATTCCAGTTCATGGCGAGTACCCTTCTTGGGCCGCAATACATACCTGTTTATTGCACCTCTCTTCCTGCAACTTCTTTACCCTGTAGTTGGCCTAAAATTGCTTGCAGGACGTTGGCAGTCCAAAGCAAGGTTTCTGTTTGTTACTATGATAGGGTATATAATGCACTTCTGCTTGTTCCACTATGTAGCTGGTCTGTCAGTTTTAGGAGCTATCTTTTGCAACATAACTGTGCGGACAGTTTTTGCCATTCCTTACATCCACGTCAACATTTTTGAACACATTGGTTTACCTATGTACGATGTCAAAAAACGTCCCAAGAGACTGTACCAAATGGCATCATCAGCGCTTAGTCTTCCCCGTAATCCCCTACTTGATTTCTCCTTTGGTCACTCAGTAATCAGCTGTCATGTGGAGCATCATTTATTTCCACATCTGTCTGATAACATGTGCCTAAAGATCAAACCCGTGGTATCCAGCTACCTTAAGAGCAATGGCCTTCCCTATCATGAAGCACCTTATCTCAGCCAGCTGTGGAAATTTTACAACAATTACGATGAACTTATGATCAAAGCACCACCAATCACAGAGTTAATTGGTATCCAGTAACGCAGTAATTTAATAGTTTTCAAGAGCAGATGGCTTTCCCACTTAACTAACAAATGTGCACTATCTTGTTAATTGCAGCTGTGAACAGTGTAACTGCTAACATGTTGCTTGTTACTCAAAACTGTAACGTGTAAATTGTGTATAATTTAGGTTGGTTTCAAAAGAGTCATTCAAGACTTCATATAATTAATTCTTTCTTAATTCAACAACTTTTAATGGACTTTCTATTGAATATTACTTTCAAAGAGTTCCCTCACCATACAAGAGCATATTATATAATAATAATATTATATTGTTATTATATAATTATTATATTAAAAGACATAGTAGTCAGTGACAGCTTACAAAAGAATGTTAGCTTCATTATTTTATTTCAACATGGTCATTACTCTGTGTATTAATAGGCCATTTGCACGATGGCGTCATTTTACTACTAGGACCACAAATCTTTTTGTTTTTTCTTTCATATTCAAATTTGGTAATCCCGGTGACGTTTCAATGACAAAATCCTAAATTTGCACAAGAAAGTAAACCCCTGAAGGATTCTGGTCGTAGTAGTAAAATAAAAATGGCCTATTATCAGAGCACTCCGCATATTGGTTGCCCTGTGATGTAGACAGACAGACAAGAATTTTTTTATTCCCCTAGCCTGTGTAGCTGGTGGTTTCGTCTGGCCAGTATGCACATATTCTCCTTGCAGCATCACCACTCATTAGTGCACCCCTCCATTGCCTCTCCCCCTACAAAACTGCCAGCTATGCAGGCTATTATTCCCCATGGTGCTCCATGTGGGCTAAGAAACTTTTTTAATTTACAGATGTTTTAAACACTGAGCTGTGGCGTAACACTTGATAAGGAGTCAATATTCAGGCCATGAAAAAGTAAATTTTATGCACGGGAGTTTAATTTTGATAATCATGGACTAAATCTTGCGTTTGATGAAGACTTGTTTCTGTTGCTGGAAATTTATTCAAACAGTTTTTAATGTTGTTTCAGTTTAAGTCACTAGCAGGGTTTTTTTGACACTGTGAGAGCATCGACGAATTTCTGATTCCGCATTACTTCCAACTTCATCAGCTCACTCAAATGTATGTGAATGCTCTTGGAGTTGAATTCTTACAGACTGTATCCAAGTTCATAAAGAGAAAAAAAATCTTTTCCTAAATCCTCCATAAAACATCAAATTCGGAATTTGTCATTGAAGTTGTGCAGTGACAACAAAGAAAGGAAAAAGCATAACGCAATGTGCATAGCTGCTGTTTTGCTTTCTTGAATGGTTCCTGTTGCTGTCGTGACATCTCCAACTCTCTACTGTTCTGCATTCTTGGCACTTTGTGGCCATAATTGCTCTGATAGGTAGTCTCATTTAGCCTGCGTAGCAGGCATTAAAGGAGGGCGGGAGGAGGGTAAGAAGGTGGAAAAAAGGGAGAGTCCCCCCCCCTTTAAGTCTCAGTTGGCCAACAGTAACATTCTTTTATTGGCTAACAATGTTTAGGGGGAGATGGCTTGTGTATTTTTATTTTTGTTTTTTCAGTTTTTGTGTGGAAACTGCATTGTTGAACGGGTCTGTCACCTTAGGTTCTCTTTCAGTCTCTCTCTTCTCCACAGCCCCAACATACATCCTAGGAGAGTTTTCTTTCGGTCCAAACTACCTCTAGTGTGTTATGTATAGAGCAGATTTTACAATTTAAAGTCTGCCAGCAAAATATAATTGTTTAAATGAGCAAAATCTGTCATTAACGTCCTATATCTTTTTTTAGAAGCGCTCTAAGAATTCAGCTTTATATACGACACACTACAGTCTACCAAGCATATCCCTCTGCAGTGCCAGGTCGTGAAGTTTTGCACCTGCGCTGAATTCTTGGGCATAAAATTGTTGGAAAATTTTAATTTTGAGACTCCTGAAGGTTTCCCGACTAAAACCCGAATTCCAAGCAAGATATGTAATTATGGTTAATTACATTCCACGCTTTTTTGGGAAAAAGAAAACGTACAACGAGTTTTTATATTAAATTGGGTTGAAGTTTCTAAAGAGTTCCGTATTTTTATTTATTTAAAAATCACTTTAAGAAGGTTTACTTCCATTCAAAGCCCCTTTGTTACTTTTGAGTAACCATTTTGTTCGCAGTCTCCTTGCCACACGTGCAACTGAACACTTTAAATTATGTGCTCATCTTTTATCCAGTTATGAATATCTAGTGAACCTGTCGATATCAGTCGTTGTACGTCCTGCATACGCTTCAACTTAATGCATAACAATGAGCCCAAGATGTCTCCCACGACTAAAGGTGAGGCAAAGATAAATGAATCTATATCAACGAAGATAGACACGTTAATTTTGGGCGCTCAAGTATACGCTCACACAGCGTCTTGTTCGTTGTTTGTTTGCTCAATCCTGCTCATGTAACACCTCTCAGGGTCGATAGTACTTGAGCTCAATTGCATTCTATTGTCATTATAAACCCATGCTCGGAGACCCAGGGCAGTCAGTCGGGTCGGGGGAAAGGGCCCGATGAAGTGTTCGAGTACGGGCGAAAGAACCTCTGGGTACCGACTATCACCGAGCTATTTCCAAAAATTCAAGCGGATGCCGGCTCCTGATTGGGCACAAAAAATGCTTTGTATTATTGTGCCCAATCGGCGAACAGTTTCTCCTGAGTTCTTTTCTTGAGTTCGTACACGACGGCTATTGTCTTGCCACACTGGTCCGGCTCGTTCACCAAGCTTGTGCGAGCAAGGGAAACTTTTATTTTCTACTTTCCTAACCAGAAGCGAAGGAACTACCGATGAGTCGAAAAAACGTTTGGGGTGCTATCAGCAGAAGCAATTCAATTTGCCCCGAGAATATTCTGTTTGTGACTCATCACAAAGTATCGTAAATAATAGGAAGTTAAAAAGATGCAGCGGCGACGAGAAAGTCAAATAAGCAATAACTTGACAAGGCAAAACAACAACTTTGCACGTGCATCACACTTTTTTGTACATTTCTTTGCCGTCAACTGCACGACTACCCTTGAAAATGCCTAATTTCATGTTTTGTGAAGGACGTAAACAAGCAATGACAAAATTCATTCTCTTCATGAACTTGGATATGGTTGATAGAAATTCAGCTTCAGAAGAGTTCGCTTAGATTTGAAAAAGTAGGCGAGTTGGAATAATCACGATAGAAACTGAAAAAAATGTGAATTCCCTTTTCCATGCGACGTTTTCGTGGTTGTCAGCCGTCGTGGTATCTTTTAAAATTCCCTAATATTTACGCAAGACGAGACCGATGCAAGCGTGAATTCCTCTTGTAAAATTACGCTTCTATCTTTGGAAAAGCGGGCAGACAGTATTTTGAAATCATTTGGGGATTTTATATCAAACTGAAAATTTGCTGACTGCGTGCATTTCTTTGGTGCATGAGCCAGACAAACCGTCATCGAAACAATAGCAGTCGTGTACGAACTCACGAAAAGAACTCAGGAGAAACTGTTCGCCGATTTGGCACAATAATACAAAGCATTTTTTGTGCCTAATCAGGAGCCGGCATCCGCTTGAATTTTTGGAAATAGCTCGGTGAGAGTCGGTACCCAGGGGCTCTTTCGCCCGTACTTAAAAACTTTCATCGGGCCCTTTCTCCCGACCCGACTGACTGCCCCTGGGTCTCCGAGGATATTATAAACCAAGCTCACGGAATAACTTAAGACAGCGTAGAAAATATTATTACATCGTTTTTGCAAGAAAACTGATTACTCTACAATCGATGCTAAAACAAGTTATATCGCTCCAGGGGCAGCAGTGGATAAGAATGAAAAGTACTTCAACACGAGGCGGTCAGGCAAAACAGTTAAGGATTTCAACAGTTTTGCATGGACGTGTGGGTAGAAAACGAAAGCCAAAGACCCAAAAACGAAGACCCCCCTCCCTCAAAATCACTTATAAATAGCTCGAAACGGCTATCTCGACCTGAGATATGTAAGAAACAACAAGATCTTCAATTATTCAACAAATTTCCCGAACAAGTTTAAGTTTTGACCTCTTCATATGCATATATGAAAGGCTTTCAGAATACTTATTTAGACTTAGCAGGCGAACTGTGCAGCCATGTGATGAGGAACAACGCCAAAGCGACCACAGCTGATTTTGATTTTTGGCAAGAAAGCCTGGCAAAAGTGTTGACCAATCAGAGCGCGTCATTTACAAAAGCGCGATTTTAAAAACAAAAACAAACGGCCGCGTTTCGTGAAGGTTGGGAATGGGTAGCCTGAAATTCATCCGATTGCTTCGAGTCGTTTTCTCCTCTCAACAACCGTTACTAAGGGAGTAATAACGACTCGAAGTAATCGGATGAAATTCAGGCTAGGGAATGCGCCTTTAAAAAATGTTTTTAAAAGACTCGCCGCATCAAATCTTTCTTTCCTTACAAGGACCGCTTGAATCGTTTTCAATAGTCTTAAGTTATTTACAAAGTCCGTTTTTGGAATTGCAAGGATTTTTTCATTGGTAAAACTAAACGAAGGCTTCATGGTAGAAAAACTGAATATTTCAAGGCCCTTGACTCGCTAAAAATGATCACACATCAGCCATTGTGGCCTGCGTTGCAGCCAGCCCACGCACTCGTCTAAACCATTAGTATCGATACAGAAGGTTTAGAGCATCTGCGACGCAGGAAACAGCCATTGCTGACCATGTCAACACCACTGGACACAACAACAAGTGGGATCATTTTGACATCTTAGCATCGGGAAAAACTGATTATCACTCACTGTAAAATCAAAGAATTATTGCTTATACAAGAACTGAAGCCAGCTTTCAATGTAAACGTCAGTAGCGAGAACAATTATCAAATTATGCCGCCCGCGCTTTTTTTTCGGAAAAAAGATGAAAATTATGCTGTTAATGACAAATTATGCCAAAAATTATGCTAGCACAATCTATCAAGCCTACTCACCGTCTGCTTTTTCTTTCTAGGAAGCATTTTAAGTGATTTTGAGGGGAGTCTTGGTTTATTTACTTTG